GTGTAAGAGCAGGTCAAGTCTCACACACACACATACACTCTGTAAAATCTTGTTTCATTTTAATGAGTGCTTACAAATTTGCCCAAAACAGGACTCCTGTCACCTGGATTTTTTATATTTTAAAAAAGGCACTGCTTTTTGTAAGTGTGTAAATCTGGAAGTAAATGATGAAAACTAAATTTTATTTAAAAAATTGTTTGAAAACAGATTTTTTGTTTTTACCAAAAAAAATAAAATTAAAATTAAAATTTAAAAAAAGGTTCTTTGTATTGCAATCTGTGTAAAAGATCTGATCAGCATTCTAATAGTTTAGAACTACCATCTGTCTGTATCTCCAGAGAAGTCGTCAGTGTCCTGCCTCATTGACTATCACCCCGTTGCACTCACACCTATCATAATGAAGTGCTTCAAGAGGCTCGTCTTGAGGCTCATTAAGAACCTGCTGCCCCCCTCACTAGACCCCTTGCAGTTCGCATATCGTCCCAACTGCTCCACAAACGACGGCATCTCCACCGCCCTCCACCTGGCCCTCACCCACCTGGACAACAAAGACAACCACGTCAGAATGCTGTTCATAGACTTCAGCTCAGCATTCAACACAATCATCCCCAGCACTTGGTTAGAAAGCTGAGCCTGCTGGGCCTCAACACCTCCCTCTGCAATTGGATCCTGGACTTCCTGACTGATAGACCCCGGTCAGTCCGAATCGGGAGCAGCATCTCCAACACCACCACACTGAGCACGGGGGCCCCACAGCGCTGTGTGCTCAGTCCAATGCTGTTCACTCTGCTGACTCACAACTGTGCAGCAATGTACAGTTCAAACCACATCATTTGGGGCTCAGGTGGTAGAGCGAGTTGGTCGATGATCGGAAGGTCGGCGGTTCGATTCCGCCCTGTAACCTGTTTCATGGTTGTTGTGTCCTTTGGCAAGACACTTCTCCCACCTTGCCTGGTGTGAATGTGTATGAATGGATTGTTTGAGGTGGTGGTCGGAGGGGCCGTAGGTGCAGAATGGCAGCCACGCCTCTGTCAGTCTGCCCCAGGGTAGCTGTGGCTACAATCGTAGCTACCACCACCAGAATGAATGTGTGTGAATGAATAATTGACAGTGTAAAGCGTCTTTGTCTGATCAATTATTATTATTATTATTATTATAAAGTTTGCTGATGACACGACCGTGGTGGGTCTCATCAGCAGGAATGACGAGTCAGCCTACAGAGATTAGGTGCAGCAGCTAACAGACTGGTGCCTAGTCAACAACCTGTCTCTGAATGTGGACAAGACCAAAGAGATGGTTGTGGACTTCAGGAGTGGACAAAGGGAGCATGCTCCTCTGACCATCGATGGCTCCACTGTGGAGATTGTGCAGAGCACCAAATTCCTTGGTGTCCACCTGGCGGAGTCCCTCACTTGGTCCCTCAGCACCAGCTCCATAGCAAAGAAAGCCCAGCAGTGCCTCTACTTCTTGCGGAGGCTGAGAAAAGCCCACCTCCCACCCCCCATACTGACAATGTTCTACAGAGGGACTATTGAGCGCATCCTGAGTAGCTGCATCACTACCTGGTTTGGAAACTGCACTGTCTCAGACCTCAAGATCCTCCAGAGGGTAGTGAGAACAGCAGAAAAAATCATCGGAGTGTCTCTCCCCTCCATCAAGGACATCCACACCACACGCTGCACCCGAAAGCCACCAGCATTGTGAAGGACCCCACACACCCGTCACACAAACTCTTTACACTCCTGCCGTCCGGCAGGAGGTTCAGAAGCATGTTTATTTGATTCTATTTTTTTGTCATATTTATTTATTTATTTATTATATTTTTATTTTATCTTATCTTGTTGCACTGCATTCTTTGCACTACCACTTTAGCTCTGGATCTGGGAAACGCTGTCTCAGTTCACTGTGTACTGTACAGCTGTATGTGGTTAAAATGACAATAAAGCCCTTTGAATCTTTGAATAAGACTTATCAGTGAGCCACTGGTACAGCTCAACTCTTCCATATTCCATTTCATGAACTTACTATTACTGTGGCTTCTGAGCTGAACCTGCAGTTCAACCAATCTGTTTCACCTCTGTGCTGCTGCCACCGATATTTTCCTAATGGTACAACAATGGATGGAATTCACAATCTGATGGGTCATTTTGCATATGAATGGTGTCCATAGTTAAATAATGACCCCCTCAGTAGTAACTTACCACGCGATAGAGACCATGCACAAATCTTTACCCATGAGAATAACACCTGGACTATTACTAGTCTTAAGTGTTTGATCAAATATTGTATCATTTAACTCTTGTAAATACACACGCATGCATGTCTGTGTCTTTGAAAATATTTTATAATCTGAGTATGTGTGGTGAGGTTGACAAAATCCACCTGTCCTGTCACTGATAGAAAGTGAAGCCATGAAGATGAATTCTAGAGCAAAGCAGTGTAAAACAATATTTAAAGATATATTTTTGGCCTTTTTTGGCTTTATTAAATAGGACAGAGAGAGAGAAACAGGAAAGTAGGGGGAGAAGAATGGGGCAAGGACCTGCAGCAAAGGGTCACGAGTCGGACTCGAACCCATGACCACTGCATCGGGGACTGTAGTCCCTTTACATGGGATGCCAGCTCAACCAGGTGAACTACAGCAGCACCCTGTAAAATAACATTTAAAAACAAAATGTTTCTGAGTGTGTCCAGATCTCCTGTATGCCACCAAGAGTGGCATTCTCCCATGAAAACATTTGAGTAGGCTAGAGCAATTTTTTGCTTTTGGCTGTGGCCTTACTCTGCAGCCAAACACACCACTGACTGGAGAAACATCCTTGGTTAGATTGATTTCTAGGAGCTGCAGTTATTCTTTCTCTGGTCCTGTCTATGAGGATGTTTGCACAAAAAAAAAAGAATGTCATCTTTAACAACTATATTTGTGTGTAAACTGACAATAACCATGAGAAATAAAATGACATTCTCATGGATATGTAGCTAATTAAATGATAGCTTTCTCTGCTGGTTTAGTGAGCTTAACTTCATGGTACGAAATTATGAGAAGATCACAGAAAACAATGAAAGAAGCTGGCCTGATTTGTTTGACAGAAAAGGTATATATCAAGCTGAAAATGTGCTCTCAGAAAGCAATCACCCTCTTTACCCAAAGTTCACTGTTCTCTCTTCAGACACCGTAGATTATCAAAGATAGTGGCAAAAGAACCTTTAGAAGTTGTAAATTCTTGTAACATTTTTGATTTAGTTGAGGTAAGGGTTAGCAATGCAGGGTTGGGTGGATATTAAACCAAAGGATCCTGTGTGTAGTGTTAGTGCAGCAAAGACACTGAGAGGAGTCCAATGGGTGCTGCACTTTAACACTGAAAGGGTTAGAATTACATTGGAGTGCAGACAGTTCAACTTACTTTTGCTGAACATTCAGTCAACGGAATTGAAGAAATACATTCAAAACAGTTTATCTGATTACATTAAATTAATGCAAGAAAAATTTGTTTAAGATGAGTTTTTATGAGATTGTACCGTACAAAGGATAAAGTAAACAATAAGTTAAACTATATTTTTTCCTACATTTAAATTCAGAAGGGTTCTTTTTGATTGATGAAGAATCACAGATTAAGATTCAAAGTTATCAGGACTCTCATTTCACTGAAACAGAAGATTAGTTTGATTTGTTGACAAGAAAGGGTAATGTCAGATGACTTATTTGTGGTGATGTAACAGTTATAGTATGCTAAAGTAAAATGACAAAAGCCCTTACTGGTCTTTCTGTACCGAGAAAAGGTCTGCCATCCACTCTTAACACAGCGCATCATCTCTGCCTGTTATCTTCCCTGTCATGTGATCCTGGGTGGCTGTGGCTCAGGCTGTCCTCTAGTTACAAGGCTGCTACCAAACCCATCCACCTACTAAGGTGTTCTTGGGCAAGACAGGGAACCACAAGTTACACCCAATGGGAGGCAAATACCCTGCATGACAGCTTCACTGATATGTGAATGAGAAACACATTGTTAAGCACTTTGTGGAGCCGAGTTCAGGTTAGAAAGGTGCTATATTAGAATGTACCATTTATCCATCAAACTGATTTCCACAGGTAGGAGCCGTCAGTATTGTAGTGTTTACACAGAAGGGAATGTAAGTAAGGCAATGTATGAAACCCATGTCTGCAGTTTCACTGAAAAAAATGCTCAGTCATGGTGTTGAGTGCTTATTTTGCTCATTATATTTCTTCCAGCACATGAATTGATACAGCATATAATAATAACAAGAAGTTTGTTAAGTTCACTTCATAACATTTTACAGAAATTATAAATTTCTTGTACAGTGTACATTCTTACAGTAGTTTTGTCTTTTAATGTTAGAGAGAGTGCAAATGATGCTGCACATGTAAAAGTACAAAAGAAGCATAATAAGTAAGAGCCCATTTTGAATTCATAATAGGCTCATAACCTGCGTTCAGTTTGTTGGTGGATTTCAATTATTCAGGATTTGGGTTGAAGGACATCTGAGGATATCTGAGTTCAAGAGCTCTGGATGTGTTGGTCTGGACACTACTGGTAAAAAATCTGTGTGGAGAGCAAAAAATATAGACTGATCTGACAGGCAGCAAGTTGCTCAAAAACTTAAAATCACCTCTATAGCAGTGTTTCTGAGTATACTGCTCTGTGCTTAAGAGACGATGCTTGATATGACATGTATTACCGTGATCCCAGAATGTGGGTAATTCTACATGTGCATGTTTAACCAGCCTTTCTGTTAATACAATATCATCAGTTCAGGCGTGTGCTTGTTGAAGTGACATAGAAATTTTACTTTGTCTGATTTACAGTAAGACTGCGGTCGTGTCCTTGTAGAAAAAGTGACCACGCGTTTATTCAAACATGAGATCTCCATGCGGGGATGCATGTCACAAAACGGGACCTTTACTGCATTCTAACTTGACGCGAGACTTGCGGCTTGAACGTGTAAGTATCGCGATATTTGACCAGCTGTTTAGTCTGTGTGTTTTTTTAGACTGATGCTAGTCGGTCAACACGTGGAGAGGAGAGTCTGACTTTCCACAGGGACACGTTTGAAAAAGTCACGTTATCAATACTGCTCTCAACGTGGCGGCACCGAGGACCCTAAAATACTGTAAGTAGAAAATACGGGGAGGAAAGAGCGCATTTATGAACTAAGGAGAAAGAGCGTGCTAGCCTGTAGCCTTCTGCATCCTGTACACACAGCGTGACTTCGTTCAAATCCACTCACAGGGCTCAGCACTCGCATATTGTAAAAAAAGAAATTAAAAAATATTTTAGTGACATTTCCACATTCCTTTGCAAACTGTCTACTGCTTACCGTGCCACCGACTGAGAGCAGAGATCCCATGTCATTGAACAACTAGCCGACACATCTCCCTCTAACTCCAGTCACAGCAGAGCAGCTAGCCTCTGCCCATGTTGTGTAACTTAAATTACCCCCAGCTACTTATTTCTTGTGACCTGTCCACAGGCTAACAACGGGCTGCAGTGTCTTCATTAGTTGCAAATACTTACTGGCTGTCAGCAGTTGAATGCAGTTGGCTATCGTTTTCGCCAGGCCGGCTAGTAAGCTAGCGTGAAGGTCTGAGGCCCATGCAGAACAGTAGCAGTCTTTGGCTTAAAATGTCCTTTAACCCTGTGTCAGTCAGACACATGCCCTCGTTGGTGCATTCGGTACCGTTTAAAGCTGTGTCGTTTGTTGCCTTTATGTTGTGGCCTAACGCGATGGTCAGTCGGTGAAATGAAACTCTAAAGTGGGTTTAAACACGAGGCTTTAATGATGTAACCAGCCCACGGTCATGGTCCAGAAATAATGCAGCGGAGGGAATGTAACGGTTTGCCACATGAACGATTTAATTCTCTGTTATTTTCATATACATTTCGCGTCAATCACTTGGTTGGGCTAGTCAGCTAACTTCATACTTTCTATCTTGCAGTGCGGCCTCCTAACCAGCCATGCTGAATTCCCACTAGTGTTAGCGTTAGGTCACAACCACCTCTGGTGCCGGATTTCATTCCGGACGATGTTACGCCAAACTCCATATATACATCTGTCATTTAGCATTTGCCATGTTACTGGGTGCACGTTGTGCATTTTGGCACTAGACATAAATTCTCTTGTGAACGATCGGTGCATTCTATTAAATTAGGTATTCGGCGAAAAAAAGAAAAGAAAAACCGCACCTGGCGTCACATATTGGGTTTCAGCTTCTATATAACGTGCTCTTTGCCTGTTAACGTAAACCGCCCTCTAGTTTCGTTTTTCCCCAAATGTGTTCTGTACTGCGTTGGCTAAGGCACGCATTCTTGCAGCAGTGTTTGTGTCTTCAGGCATAATAGTAAAGCGAGTAGCGTGAATCAAGAGGAAGAAAGTGTTCAGTCGTATTTTGGTCTGCACAGTGTTCATATTGTTTCTACACCACTACAAGGGGGCATTCAAGCGCCACATTTCTACCTGCAGCTCAACTGTATGGCCTTCGGACTTGCTAGCTAGCTAATAGCCGTCTGTGTGTTGATGGATGAATGATCGTTTCTCCGTCCGGCTCGTATTGAGCTACCCACGGCACGAGACGCTGGGATTATTTATTGTGAGCCACACAGTCTCTGTGTAGCTATTATTAGCACGTAGCTGCTGAAATGGTCTGGCATTAGCTAAGGCGTCGCTAAAAGTTGGCTTTATTACCTTGGAGTACGCTAGACAATCCTGTGAGTCAATGTGCAACTTCTCATCGTATCATGGGATTTTAATAATAATAGTTTTGTTTTCTATCAGGTAAATTGAAGGAAAAGCCCGTTGTTATAGCTATTATTAACGCATGATAAGTTTGACCTGACCTGTAGCAGTGTTGCTCCCATTTTACTTACAGACCACGTTGGTGTTAATGGTTCTAAAATGTCAACCTCAACAATTTGATTTCCACTCACATGTACTAACAGTGACTATACATGTACTAAACAGTGTAAACAAAAAGTTTTGGAGGCATGCAGTACAGTCCTGATTGGCTTCATCGGTCAAATTTAACAACTACTATTTCTCCTTGTTACTGTAATGCTGTAGAAGTCCTGATGTGTGATTAAGTGCATACATTTGCTGATATAGATGGAAATAGGGAATTTAAATTATGAACTACAAATGATGAATAACCCAGGTTACCAGTAGAAATCATGTCCAGACAGTTGGAAAGAGTGACTGTGTGTCAGTGACATAAGAGGTACACTAAGGTAGTTCTTTATCTATTGTGCACATTGCTTAGGTTGCTTGTGCTAAGCACATTGTGAGGTTTGAACCTGTAAATGGAGCCAGATTATTCCCATATCTAAACCACCAAGGTCACAGTCTGAAGCCGAACTTTAAAGTTAAGAAAAATGCCAATGAACACTTGTCTGATTCATGAGGAAGGCTTGTTGAACTGCTTGTAATTTTGATTGTAACCTTGTTCAAGGTGAATGTCATGTGGGCCACCATTTCACAAGCACACATACAGGCTTATCAGCTCCTTTCTGCTTTAGATCAGGTGTCTGTATGCAAAGAGTTAAGTGGTTCAATTTGCCAATTAATTTTATTGTACATTGAATGATGAAAGCTTGACTTACTGAAGTCATTTCTGACATTATCATATAACAAGAAATATATATATTTTTTATGAAATCTGGAGATTAGAGGATTCCCTCACTCCATCACTATACTTCTAAATTATGATTCTTCATGTAATGCACTTAAGTTGAAGGAGAAGCCCACATCTACTCAACATAAAACTCATTTAGTTTAAACAATGCGTTGTTTTTGACCACGTGTTAAAGTGACAAAGTTCATTTTTTACAACATATAGCCATAGTTTAACTGTAAACCAACATTGTGTAAAGTTGGCACAATGCCATATCTGTGCTGTGCACGCTGTAACTAACTTTGATCACAGGCTATGGCGCAAAGAACTTCTGATACGCTAGGAATGGAATGATTAAAAGTGTTGCTTGTCCTGATGACATGTTGGAGGTTTTGAGTTCATGTATTAGTATGTGTTAGATACTTGTTTAGATAGACAGAGAGACAAATAGATAATAGGCTTTGCATTTAATTGAAAATTGTACTGAATATTAAAGATCTAAGTGAGGGCAATTTAAACTTGATTTTCAGAATAATATGCATTTTTTTGATATGCAGTTGACCTATATCTTTGGGATTGTGCTATATAAATAGCTGTGTTCAAATTAAAGATATATAGTTTTTGGTGAAATTATTTTTTAAAAATTATTAATTGCAAATTAACGTTTGTTAGAAGATGTAGCAGCAATATGGTAAACAAAATATTTGAAATATAAATTGAAATGATCACAAAATTTGATTTGTCATAGTTGTTTCTCACCCATCATACCTTCATTTCAATTTTTTTTTCCTTTTGGAGCAACATTGGCCCAAGCAGTAACAAACAGTTTTTGTCTTTCTCTGAAACCTACAAGCAGCCTTTGTGTTATCACAAAAGACCAAATCAAATACATATTATATTTGCTGCTGTGTCCATGCTTGTTTTTTTTATTATTATTTTAATTCAAACAATGGCACTTACTTGCCCACTGCTTTTTGGTAGTTGACTTTTACTGATAGGATGTGCACATAGCCTTCAGTGTATCACTAAGGGGAACTGTAATGAATTCAGCAGATTTGACCAAAAATAGCTGTGATTGATCACCTATCTCAAGTTGGTCGTGTAATTGAAGTGCTTTTGCTCTATGTGTCTAGTTGACATCAGCAGAATCTAACTGTGAAAGTAATGATTCATACAGATGGGAGCAAAATTCTGCTCATTAACACTCTTTATCCAGTACTTTATTAACTGAGTTTCCAACTGCCACCAGAACTTTGCATTGGCTGCACTGGAATGCGTCACTGTTTCATTTAGCTTTCAACTAAAATTTTTCACCACGCTTTTTGCCTCCACAGTAGAAACTGTAACTGGTGTACTTCTGCATGATGTAATTATGAAGAGGATGGTATGACACCCTGGAGGTGATCTTCATTTATTCTGACAGAACAAGGGGTAAAAATGGTGGACAGTCTGCACTTATATTGCGCTTTTCTTCCTCAGTGATACTCAAAGCATTTTACAGTTTTCCCCATTGACACCAATGGAGACAGAGCTGCCATGTAAGGTGCTCACCTGCCATCAGGAGCAACTTCGAGTTCAGTGTCTTGCCCAAAGACACTTCGGCATATGGGGGTGCTGGGGATTAAACCACCATCCTTGTGATAAGTGGACATCCCACTTGAGCCACAGCCGCCCATAAAAAAACACACTATAATGGTGCTGTTATATGAGCAAATTCTAATGCGGACAAGTGCAGTGTCCAATCCAGGAGCTGCAATGTTTGGATAAAGGTGAACTATGTCACAAAATTCTAACAACCATTATAAATGAAGCGTTGTGGTGCTACAGAGATGCAACAGCCTACATATAATTTTCTCTCTATTCAGGGGAACATGCTTGGTTGAAATAGATGCTGTAAAAATCTTCTCAACACTTTTGTATTTGATTACATGTAAAATAAATGCCCAAATTACCATTAACACAAAAAATGTGAATGATATTGCATTACAATATGTTAAAATATGTTTTTTACTTAATTATTTGTTTATTTTGCATATTATTGAGCTCCTTTCCCACAGGAGAGTAATACAAAAGGGCTGAGAATGGACGTAGACAGTAGGTGTGCAGCTGACAGCAAGGACCAGGGCTGGGTTTATTACTCATCAGTCAGCAATGAATTCATAATTACTGATATTATTGTATCAAATGTATTTATTTCAAGCACCAAAAGTGTTTCCCGGCTAATGTTTGGAAGATATACACAGAAAATTGGTCTGCAGAATTTTGTCCATTTTAAATAGTTCACCAATTTTATGCACTTAACTGTACAAAATAGCAGTAAAGTCATCCACCCATAATGCTGATGTGTGTTTGGTGTAGGATTTCTCATGTTTTCGGGAATGAGTCTTCACAGCTATGCATTATTTAAGACAATGGCTGTAGCCTCGGTACATTTGTGTGCACCCTTGTTCCAAAATGTTCACATTCTCAGAGGAGAGTCCTCACTATCAGAAATGCATTTTAGACAGCTATACCGTAACAATAATAGGACATCAGGGAGTTTTCTAAACTATGTTACTTTAAATAAATATAGCAGTTCTAGCTTCCACACATAAACTGATATCTGTAAAGCAGCTTTTTCTGTTGTTAATGTTAATAGTATATCCCTGCTGTCTGCCTGCCTGCCGAGGGCCAGCAGCTATTTACGTAAAGCAGATGGGAGTGGCAGAAGCCATAGAGGTCAGAAGTCCAATGGTGCCTCCTCTGTGACACAGTGACACTCCATGCAGCTGCCAATGAGAGCTGAGTCTGAAAGCATAGCAGGAAATGATTGTGTCGCATCCACCCCTTGTGATGCGTTGCTCTAGGTGGAGGCGGGCTTTGCCAAGTCTGTTAAGGAAAGGCATGTGCACATGGCCTTTTTTTAACATGGACAGGGAGTTGCCACAGCAGGAATTAGGTATGCAGAGGGCTGTTCTTGTGTCTCCAATTGGGGCTGATTTCCTTAACATGTAATCAGTCTGCTGTCTTTGTGTTTTGCAAAGTTTTGCTTTTTGTCTATAATTGACTTTGAGATGAAAGAGTTTATCTTTCTAGTTGAGCATTTTTCGTGATGGCATTTACATTTCAACATGAGTGTGGTAGTTTTTCATATTAACCAGCCAGTTTGACTGCAGTGACAGGACTACGAGTTTTAGCAGTAGATCAAAATGGAAACAGTATTTTATGTATATAGGCTTCACCACCTGTAACAATGGGGTTGTCACTTTAAAAAAAAAAAAAAAAAGTCATGTTGGAGTGAAATCAAACTAGCACAAGTTCTGTTCAAACGCAACCCATGTAATGTATTGACAACACTCTCCTTGCCCTGTAGTATAGGCTATACATTTTCCTGGGATATGTCAAACAACTAGGCTGCATATCCTTGCATTAAAATGTCATTGTCTTACCAGTGAAGGCCTTGTTATGAGAATCTTAGAAGAATAATCCTGAGGACGAGTTTGGCTGTAGTGCTGTTAGACTGCCCTTTGCCATTGCAATTTGATAATACATCATGAGGATACTAATTGAAGTTATTACTGCCAGCCTTTGGAGGTGCTTCGATGTGTACATGCTTTCCATCAATGGAGCCCAAACACAGCAGGAAGGAATTCCAAATCATCCAAAAATCCTGTGCTATGCTGTAGACTAAATGTGTGATTTGTAGCTATATATAGAGAGTAATTATCTGTAAGTTGTAGATTGTACACATTATTGGTATGTATTGATGACTGGAGGTTTTCGATTAGTGGTCTGAGGCAAAACATGTGACCAGGACATCCCTACTGTAGACTATCATAGTTTTATGGAGTCTGTCAAAAATATTCCTGTGTGCCATAATCTCACATTCATGTTCTTTAAATATCCTAACCTCAGCAATTCTGAAACTTTGAGTGAATGAGCAAACGGAATGGATCTCAAAAGATCTGATTGATAATAGAATGCATTTTGTATCTCAATCTTTCTTTGGGTCACGTGGGATCTAGCATATTTCTGAGGATCAGGGTAAAATTAAACCTAATCCTTCAAATTGCCTGCAGTCAACAAGCAGATCTAGGCCAATTCTCACACACTTCCTATAAGTTGTAATCAGTGCAAAAAAATCCCTTAACTAATGTGTGTGTTTTTGTGTGTCTAACTTTCAGGTGTAGCTGCTAGTGTCCTGAGGAAATGCCGCTGAGGTTTCGCTCTGTTATGTCCTACACACTGCCTGGAGTCCTTGCACTGATTGGCTGGTGGTGGTACATCTCGCGGAAGAAAGAGCAGCTCATCAGCCATGACAGCCCAGACGGGCCTCCAACTGCTATGGGCCTTAGAACATCTTCAGCTGAAGGGAGCAATGGTTTGGTTGAGAGAGGCACTGTGTCCCCCACAAACGAATCAGAAAGCCCTATCCCAAGAACTCCAACGGTCAGTAACCAGAGAACACACCATGAAAACATTTCACAGACCCATGTCCAGGACACTAAAGCAACACAGTCACTTGAACCAAGATCTGAAGAAGGTGCCCCTCACCTTGGCAAAATAGGACGAGAGAAAGTCTATAAACCCTCGGACTCCACTCTACCAACACGTGATAAAGAAGACAGCCCACCAGTATCGTTGAAAGGCCACAAAGACCCAGAGAGAAGCTCATCAGAGCTCGAGAAACACCCAGTCAAAAATCTAGTAGGTACTCTGGAAGCCACAGTAGACGAGCTCATCTTACCCTGCCAGTCCACCAAAGTCACAAGCTCCTCCCCTACAACAGCATACCTTTCTGATGCAGAGAGGCCGGAGCCAGAGGGGGAAGTTGCGAAGTACCATAGCACTATTAATGCACAAAATGAGATGGTTGTTTGTGCACTTACCCCAGCCAAAGTGCAGAATCTAATCCCATCAGAGGCCGATTCTCTGGAGACACCCCCATCAGCACAGGATTTACAACAACACATTCTAACGAGCACACCTACCGCCATGGATTTGACCTCCACAGCTCTGACCACCGTCCAAGATTCCACCATCACATCGGTGACCTCACAGGACGTCCAGGCACACATTAGCACTGGAGAGGAGCAGGATTTGGAACTTCTGGCAGCTGGACTCATCACTGAGGTCATCTCAGCAGCCACCCAAGAGGTCCTGGGTGTCACTAGCTGCCAGGTCACGAACAACAGCCAGCCCAGCTGCAGTAGCAGCATGCTGCTGACTAGCAGCAGGGTATGCTTGCAACAGGATCCAGTCACAGTGAAACAACAGCATCACCATCTCTTGACAAGCCCCTCTCAGGTTGGCTGTGAGTGTAAAGAGGCAACAGAGACAGAAGAGCAAGGAGTGCCTAATGGATGCTCCTCAGCTACAGTATGGGCACCTGTTGAGGTCAGTCACAGAGTTCATCAGGGAAATAATGCACAGAGAGGCCACTGGCCAACTCCATCACACCAAGCAGCACAAAATATTCCTGTGCTAAACATTAAACTGAAATGTGAAGAACCCGCCACACTAGCCGAGGACTCGGCCTGCAGCACGTGCCACTCTGAAGATGGCGTCAGCAGTGAGGACCTCCAGAACAGCATGTTTGACAACCAAATTGATGTGATCCAGGTTACAGACTTGTCAGCAAGCGAAGCCACACAGCCTCAGTCATTGGTTGAGACCATTACAGAGACTGTTTTGGATGTAACTGAAGATAACTCAGTGGCTGCTGTGTGTGAGATAAAGAGGCTCAATGGAATGGGCCTGAGGAATGGAGCTCATGGAACATGTGAGGTGGAGACAGACCAGTCTGGAGGTGAGACATCAATCTGTTCATTCTGGGTTTTCGTGTAAAAAGTGTTTTAGAGTAGCCAAACCTGAATTTTTAAGGCCAATATTGACATTCATATTTGAGTTTCAAAATCTAAAAAGGATATATAACTGCAGATATATCAGGTATATCATTATCTGCTACTAGTTAAGATTTTTTGTAATTTCTTAGACAAACGCATAACATTACTAAACAACTTGATACAAGGGTATCCACAGGTCTTTAAAAGTACTGAATACACGTTCGTCAAAAGGCCCCTAAATTTCAGGTTGTGATTATGAAACAATGGACTTTGTGGTCTTTGTGGTTGGTTTACGTCTCTTTGTGATTGTTCTGTAATAGTTTTGTATGTCATTTATCATTTGTCATTATTTAACTGAGCTCAGTGACTTTTAAACAAAAAATGCCAACTGTCATTTTAAGGTTTTGGCTCATGGGCCCCCTGACCCATTGGGTCCCTGAGCTTGTGCACCATGTGCCTGTTCTGTAGTCAGTGAATGCATCCAAGACATGTAAAATAATTGTATTACTAGAACGCATTGCCACCTATAGTTAGGAAGTCCTAACAACAATGCAAAATGTCAAAATTTGTTTTTAATATCAGGGTTCCAGACTGTCTGATGTAACCATCTATAGCTATTCATTAAAAAAAAATAATTAAAAGAAGAGAGAGGAGGAAGCTGGTGGACAGGGAGAGGACTTGACTCACCTCATAAAACATAAAGAGTTTCCCACAGTTGAATGAACAACTGTTCTTGTACACAGCAACATTTTAGTTAGATTAATAAGAATCAGTTATTCTTGTGCAGTAAGTACGTACTTCCTACATTGCTGAACATTATGTTGTTTAATATGTGCAGAAGGAAGTGTTTTACATTTGAAGATATGAGAAGATGAGAGCTTACTTTGACAAGGGAGAACAGAGTAGGTGTTCCTTCAACCCAGAGGTGGCAGATTTGTGTCTGTCGTATATCACACTTTGCACATTTGTCGCAAAGTCCAATTTGTGACGTCTAGGAAATTTAAAAAAGGATTTCTGCTGGAGGCTTTCCAAGTTAGCCAAGAACTTAATGTTAGTTCTTTGCCCAAGGTTCATTCTGTGGCAGAGGGCACTTGACTGAAGCTAGAAACCCACTTGTGAAACAGAAGTTAATGGGTCAGTGGAAGCGTTGCTTTTCTCATGCAGTGTTGAGATGTTGGGCAACACTATGATATACTCCATTACAGTGAGGCTGCTGAATTGTGTGATCAGCAACCAATGTTTTGTTTCTTTTTTGTCACACCTCATGAATGTCAAACGGTGGTTTCCGTTGTACCACTGGCAGCTCTGCATTGCAGTAACAAATTGTTCAGGATGAGAATTTGAGAGCTGTACTACAAACCAAGTTAGTGGGTTAGCCAGGTATGTTGATCCTAAAGTCAGAGTTAACAGTATCACAAAGGTGGTTCTCTTTTAACCTAGCTAAATCTTCGTGGAAACTGATGCTGTAAAGTTAGCATGGTACAGAACAGGTTATGTTCAGATTTCGGCTTTATATCGGCAGGAAGAAGCATCTCCCTTTAACCAAATCGTTATCTGCAAACATACTGAGCTGTACGTTCCTAATATCACTGAATGGAGATGTGCAGTGACAGTTTCGCATGCTGTATGCATTGCATTGCCATGGGAACCTGACATGTATTTAGCTGGTGATGGAGAAATCACATAAATATATTTTTATGTTTGGTCCTGATTTGCTGCCAAGTCCATTCACACTGGTGTTACTGCAGCTGATAGAACACAGATGAGAAAATGGATTATACTATTAGTATGTACTGTGATTTGGCCAAAAATTAAAGAGATATCATGCATTATGGCAAAGTGTCAGACCTAAATACACTTCAACACAGTATGACTAAATATAGAAAGTTCAGAGTTTTACAACTCTAATGTGCAGCTGTCATTTAGAAATTAGCAGCTGTATTGATCGGTAAAATAAATATATTAACACACAAACAGTTTTCTACCAGCATTCCTGTATTGTGTGCATCATTGCTGTAGGAGCACTTGTCAGTATAATTTCTTGCATCCCTTGTTGTACCACATTAAAACAACCTGTTGACTGAATTAGGCAGCACATCGACAGAAAAAGTCACAAGTCGCATGACTGTGCTCAACGCTTTCTTTTATGGAACATGCAGTCTGAAGTGGAAAGTCTTGAGTTAACAAAAAAAAGGTTGATAACTACCTTCGTTGTGCTTGTTATCTCTGACTGGCGTTTTCGTATTTGTCGAGCTTACATAAAGAAACCCTGGCTATGTCAAACTTGCTTCATTTGTACAGCCCTCAGGAACCTGAACTACAATGCTTGCCTTAAATGTGAATATTGCTGGAAAGGGTGATTATTCTGTGTTTCTGTGCACAGGTTCTGATGTGAACAGTATGGACTCAGTGGACAGCGGCTGCACTATGGGTGCTGGGGAGAACCAGAGCAACCACGCTGCCTCTTCGAGCTCTGAACTCATCATCTGGGAGATTGAGGTGCCAAAGGTGAGTCAGAACAACTGAAGTGAAAAATTAAACTGTGCCCAATGCATGTGACATGATCGGAGTCTCTTCATACCCCAAAATGCTTCACCTTAGAAGTCATTTCTAAGCCTTTATACCCATTGTCAGTGGAATGTGTTAATGTCCTGTGTTTACATCCAAGTAAAATGCTAATATATGCTGTAAACAAGGTTATATTTGATAGACATTCGTTAATTGAATACAACGTAAACGCAAAATGTATGCTAGTTGTAATTTAAATTCAAAAATATCAATATTTATAACAGTCACTAGTTTCAGTGTGGAAGTTTTAAAAATGTTTATGACTCTGGTGACACCTAATGGTAGCACCAGTGTAGACACTGGTTAGAAAAAGTTATAGTACTAAGCAGCTCTAACTCAGTCAGGGCACAAAATGTTCACAGTTGGGTCCAACTCCAAGGCCTGAGGGCATGGATTGGCACCTATATTGTCCCATGTACTGGTAATCATACGGAGGGAAATGCTTAGAGGAGGCAAAGTCTGTACATAGATTCTGTCTAAGATCACCTACACTTCAACCAGAACCTTTTCATATCGTCTCTTTCAGTTTTAAGCTGGCAGGTTGCCCTCTTTGTTCTCTAGCAGCTTAGTGGGCATTCCCCAGTAGCTACAAAGTATCATTGCTAAAATGGTACATTTGATTTCATCCTCTAAAATGGCGAGGTATATCACATTAAAGCTGCCACTAAAAAATAGTTCTCAATATATGCACTTTATCCTCTTGTTTCAGTCATATTTCCTAAAATCTAGTGACCAGCTAGTAATGAAAATATACTGAGCATTTTTTTTAAAAAAGTAGGACCTGCACTGTACATTTGTCAGCTGGTTTTGTGTCTGTAAATGGTCTGTACACTTGTACAAAAAAAAAAAAATAGAGTAATTCCTGTCTCTTCCTTTCTCACAACACAGTCAGCTAAAAGTTGTTACTGATGTACATAAGTATTAAGTATGTATGTACATATACAAGAGTCATGCACTGTTTATTCCCTCCTTATGGTATGGCAGATGCAAATGATATTGTATCATTTTCATTTTGACTTTATGGTGGAACTAGTGTCTTGCTCTTTGGAATGAGTGAATATACTTTTGAAGAGAGCAGCTCTGCAGAAGGAAATGTAGCTGAGACTGCTGATAAGGGAATTGTTTTTGTACCATTAATCAATCGCATCGGTTAAAAGGAAAATCTAGAGCATGAAAAGTCTGCTCAGAAGGTTTTCTGTTGTTAGTGATGCATTCATAATAGTTCTAAAATATGATTTGAATATATGGCCTCATCTGAGAACATCCATGCCTTTAATCATTAAACAGTGATGGGGGGATAGATGTAGAGAATGTGGGATCTACGGATACTTTTAGCACTACGCTCAGTGTTCCAATGTCCATAATAGCAAACTTCTATCTCAACTGGAGATTGACTAGGGACAAAAACAAGATGCGACAGCAAGGGGGAGCCAGGATGACAGGTACGGGGAGATGTATCATCATCATCATCATCATCATCATCATCATCCCCACACTCTGAGATCGGGATTCAAGCCCATATAACCTTAACACAAGGGCAGCTGACCTGAGATTGAAGATCATAACTAAGCTAAATACCTGTAACTCCATTTGACATGGTTAAGTGAAAATATGTACCCAAGTGGAACGACCATCATCCACCACCTCTTCATGGATGACCTCAAGCTTTATGCCAGAAATGAACGAGACATTGACCCACTGATCCATGTCAACAAGATCTATAGCAACAACATCGAAATATCATTTGGACTGGACAAATGTGGTCAGATGATGTCAAAGAGGAGCAAGATGATCACCACTGAGGTGGTTCAACTACCGCAAGGTAACATTGTAGATGTTCAGGACAGCTACAGATCCCTTTGTGTCCCACAGGCAAATGGAAACCATGAGGTGACTGCAAGGAAGTCGGTCACGGCTAAATACCTACATAGAGTGAGGCAGTTCCTGAAAAGTAAGCTGAACAGACAGAACAAGATGCAAGCCATCAACACACATGCCCTGCTGGTGATCAGATACCCCGTTTGTATAATAATCTGGTCAAAGGAAAAGATAGAGACCACTGATATTAAGACAAGGAAGCTCCTCACAATGCATAGAGTGTTTCACCCCAGGTTCAGTACCCTGAGACTGTACACAAAGCGGAAGGGAGGCCAACAACTAATGAGCATAACAGCCACTATCCAGGATAAAACAACAAAGATCCAGGAAACCATAAGGAAGATGGCCGCCAGCGATGACCTGCTACGTGAATACCTCGGGCTGCAGAAACCTAATAATGAGGAAGAGGAAGAAGGACCATAATGGGAGGACAAGCCCCACAAGATCAGTAAAGCCCAGGATCAACCACACCCCAGGTGCTGGCCGTGCAAAAATGCCTCTGAGACAGTACAGCACATAACGGCATACATGGAGCGTCATAACCATGTAGCTGCCATTGTATACAGAAACATATCGATCTGTATTTGTGTGTGTCTGTCCATTTGAAAAGTCTAGATTGTGGGTCTGGATCGCATTCCTTTCAAAGAACTGTCCTGTTGACATATTGTCTTTTCTGTGTGTCTTCCTATACCAGCATCTTGTAGGGCGGCTGATAGGAAAGCAGGGGAGATACGTGAGCTTCCTGAAGCAAAACTCTGGTGCAAAGATCTACATCTCCACCCTGCCTTATACACAGGAGTTTCAGATCTGTCACATAGAGGGTGAGTCCAGATATGCATGTCCCCACATCTCTCAACAGGATTCTAGACTAAGTTTTGACATTGTTTCCTCTCGTGCACCAGCACATTAAGTGCACCCAAAAGTTATTCACTGCACTTCTTAATACTGCAGTAAGTATCAGCACTTTGCTGTGGATGCACAGTGATGAATAACAAGTGTTTTAAAAAAAACCAAACATGCAATGCAATATGCTGCTCAGCTCCAGTTCCACTCCCACAGGAGGAAAGTACAAAGGGTGGAGAATGTGTACGAACAGCGGCTGTGGAGCTGGCAGCAGGGACTAGTGGTGGGTTTATTAATGACTGGTCAACAGTGCATTCATAATTACTAGGGGCTACCTGCCTACCACTTCTTAATTAAACAATACACTGACCCCTTGCCAAACTAAAAGTGCCTAGATGACCCACATGGTTTTGCTTACCCATCAGTGATGATACTGTGGGACAGCAGCCATAACACGGCAATTCAGTCAATAAAAATAAACACCATTACCATAATGTAATGTGTATAAAAGATAAGAAAACATCCAAAATGACACTTTATAATTCACTATTATCATATGATGGATCAAGTATCACTAAAAGGTGCAGTTCTCCGCTGTTCCCCAAAATATCACAATGGTATAATGGAACACCAGAACTGCACTGACTCAGTCCAATGGGCCTCCAAGTGAATATGCCGGCAATAGTAATCCAGAGGAATGGAACTGCCAGCAGGAACTCAGTGTCCACAGGAGCAGAGGAATCAGTTGCAGCAAGTCACAAAGGCAGCGAGTACTGATCTGCAATGTAGTGTAAAATGCCTGCGGGTGGAAAAATGCTAACCACACAGACCTGCATAATGTCAGGTGCACTGCTGCGACCAATGAAAATGTTTAGTTGAATGTGACAGGGACTAAACAGTCCTGTTTAACATCTTTTGAAAGGGTTTAGAGATGGGACTGATTGATGTGAGATTCCAGATGCTTACTGCAAGAGAAACATCAGAGCACACTAATGCTGACTTGGACCACAGGTAAAACTTTGACTTGTGTTTGATCTCTATCCAGGTACGCAGCAGCAGGTTGACAAAGCGCTGTCACTGATTGGGAAGAAGTTTAAAGACCTGGACTTGACCAATCTATATGCACCTCCACCTCCCCCACTCACATTGCCATCACTTCCCATGACCTCCTGGGTAAGGATGGGCTTGGTATCTTGAGAATGGTTTATAGATGCGACAATATACAGTTGGCTGCTGTATGAAAATTTGGAAAATATGGTGCTTATTCCTACGAAGTAGATATTCATCTTCATATCTAATTCTGGAGGATGTGTGGTAAGAAAAATGCAGGGTACACTCATGAATTTTGGAAATGTTTGAAAATGAGAAAATATGTGATATGATGTCTGGGCACAGTTAATGATATTGGGCTATGAATTACCCAAGACATGTGATACTATCTTTAGGTAATTTGACTCAAGATCATAAGACTAATACATTATCTTGTACTTGTTTTCACAGCTCTTGCTCCCCAGTGGAGTGACCGTTGAAGTGATAGTGGTGAACATTGTGTCAGCCGGTCACATCTTTGTCCAGCAGCACACTCACCCCACCTACCACGCTCTGCGAAGCCTTGACCAGCAGATGTTCCTGTGCTACTCCCAGCCGGGCACACCTGCCCTGCCCTCACCGGCTGAAGGTAACCTTGTTCGCTCTGCAAACATGACTAAAAATGGCTGCAGTTTCTGTCATCCTTCATCTTGTAAACCTTTGATTAAATGAGCAACCACAACAGAGGTTTCTTACAGGGCGTACTGACCTTTGGTTGGTGGGGAAAATTTAAAATGTTTGTTTTTGAATTTAGATTTTTATTTCTCATCAACTCTGAAAATAAGAAAGCAAAATCAAAACTTCGCACTTATCCAGATTGCTTTTTTCGCTTTGATCTATATAACCATATTTTTGTCATTGTATCTGGTAAGCAGTCTTTTAACATAAGTGGGTTTCCTGTATTAGACGGGGATCAGTGGCCCTGTCCTCACTGTAACAAGAGAGATCCCACAATATGCATTAAAATGCATTTCTCAAGCAGAAAATCGCAGGATTTTAGTCTTTTTTTGTCTTGTACCCTGAGGCTAAGTATTTTGGTGTGGAATTACTTGACTTCTTGGAGCAGCATCATTTTGTAACCCGTAGATTGTTATTGGATTTAAACTTTCTTGTAAAGCTTGGAAATATTATACTTGCATTAAAGTCAGCAGGACTATATCTTGTCACGATGAAAGAGAAAGACTTTGTCTGTCTTTTGTCTGTCCAGTTGGTGTAATCTGTGCTGCTCCAGCAGTGGAAGGAGCCTGGTGGAGAGCTCAGGTCATCACCTTCTATAAAGAGACTAAGGAAGTGGAGATTAGATACGTTGACTATGGAGGCTATGACAGAGTTAAAATCGATTCATTACGGCAAATAAGGTGAGTGACAAAGTCTTGCTGTATTATAACTGTCTGTGTATTACAGCAGGGCCTTTTAGAACAGATCACAACAGCACTTCTAAACAAAGCACTTCCAGATCAGCCTAAAGCAATTTCAACTGAAAACTGCTGTATTTGTGTGCTCCATGGACTTGTTAGGTCATTAAGCCTGATAAAAGGAAAGAGCAATCCCACAGTAACACCCCAAGATGTCTGTACAAGACGCCTTTGTTTTCTGCTGCCTATGAATCAGTGGTTTCAGACTTATAGCCATATTAATTATGTTTATAATGCCTAAGTCTGGATTAAAGCAACCAGAGTAAAGATTTGAAAATGGCCAAGTGCTAATCGCTGATAAAAAGAAGTGTTTGTCAGGGCAGGACTAAAGCCTTGATTATCATCCCTGTAGTTTGCTTGGAAGACTACATACAGCAGCAAGTTGTTTGCCCTCTATGTTTATGTTAAAATCTCATATATTGCATGTTTATGTTTAATGTTTCCTTAAAACTAAAGAGCAGTAACATAGTGACTCAGACACTACACTTCAAAACTGAAATGTAAGGTTTAGTTTTAGAAGTTGATGAAAATGTCGTAACAAACATTTGTTTTTGGCTTATGCATGGTACCAGAAGGACTTCATCATATTGTACCTGCTAGTTTAGCACTGGATCAGGTTCTAATAAATGAGCAGTGGATATTTAATGTTTCCAGAGAATTAATCTGTGGTTATACTGGTAGGGATGACATCAGGTTAAATGGTTCAGTTCACATTCTATTCAATTAACCAAGGCAGACCCGGGCAGACTTGTAGCAGTAGTTTATGCTGTGATGTATCAACGAAGTACTGAATATAGAGGCAGTGTAAATGATTGTGAATCTGGTTATAAAAAGTGTTTTTACTTGCCATTATGGATTACATATAGATGGGTGACAAATTCAAAGAAAAACCTGAACCCTTGACTCCTATAGTGAGTAGATGAGGTGACTGTTATGCGGTGGGGAGCAATTTGCTGGTGTAGTTTGAGTCCATCTGTCAACTTAACTGGAGCGGTCACTACAAATCAATACAAATTTCTGTCCAGATAGGAGTGGTTCTGTGCAGGTTGACAGTGCTCTCATCATGGCACAAGGGGTCATTGAATGGTTTGATAAGAATGAAAATGTGATGAGTCATGGGTGTTTTATGCTGAGGTGTTAAATGAGAGAATATCTTTTGGAAGAATGATGTTTCATCCCTCCAGTAGAGTACAGGCTTGAAGTATCAATAGTGCAGCAGGTTGAGGCTGTTCTGGCAGCATGTGGTGGCCCAACACCTCACTAAAGGCACTTTATGTTGGACTTTTCCTTTCATGTGTCTTCTGTATATACATAAAACTGTATACATTATGCAGCATACAAAATGTCCATATGCGTAACAAATTGCTCCCTTTTTTCTCTCTCTCAGGTCTGATTTTGTAACACTACCTTTCCAAGGCGCTGAGGTATTGCTTGACAACATCGCCCCACTTCCAGGTACAACATTGTTTGTATTAACACATGATTTTAGACCCTTTTTTACAACTTCTTTCCAAGAAGTGTCAGTTCTTCCACTTGTGTGTGGAGTGTATCTAGCTGATTTAGTGCCAGTTTGTTCAGTGGCAGCTTGATTAAAACACTGTTTGGCTGAAATAATACCTGCAACGTTGTTGTGATGTTGCATTAGGAGAGGATCGTTTTTCAGCTGAGGCCACATCAGCATTGGAGGAGATGACCAGAGGAGTGGCATTGCTTGCACAGGTACGAGCACCTTCTTTTCTAAACTTATCCAGGTTGACAATATCTATTACTTACCAACCATTTGTTTTTCTATATAGGTCTCAAATTATGATAACAACACAGGCCTCCCGTTGGTCCACCTGTGGAATATGGTCGGAGAGGAGGTATGATGCTTGGATTCACCAGGTTTACCAATGACTTTGACAACACAGTACTTCATACTGCATGTGATGTGTATTTTCCGAGTTCTGTGTGCTGTAGTTTAAACTTTCTGATCTGTTAGCCTCTGCTTTCATTACTGCTGCCTCAGACCTCTTACTGCATGAGTTATGTTACGGTCATGTAAGATACAAGCAAGTGACAGCCTAGACTAGTTGAATATATGTGGTGCTGTTAGATCACATGATACTATGGAGAGTGAAAAAAATACAACTGAATTTAGAGCATTGTATTGGATTTACCAAACAAGGTTCACCAGGGTTCTTAATACATTATCCATCCACAAACATACATGAGAGGTCAAAATATTTGGATTGTTTTTCAAAATACTGCATTCCAGGACAATGTATTATGAAAAACGTGACAGACAGTTATGAATGAAAATGGGATCTCTGTGATTATGCACCCCAGTCAACACACCATCCTGTCAAAGGTAATTTGGCCCAGTAAAACCCAGGCACTCTTTCTTTAGTTTAGTTTTGGCCATTAGGAACTCTACCAGAAAGAAGAACGCTACCTGTTGAGTGTTTGCACTAATTTGCATTCACATGTTCCATTATTTAAAATTCTTTTTTATTATATTATTATTATATTATGTTTTTATTTATATTCTCAGTTTCTGTTTTCTTTCCTTTTCTTGACTTTTGTTTCTTCTTTCTTGCAATATTAGGATTTCCCTCTTGAAGTGTTAAATGTTGAGGCTTGCTAAGGAATCTTAATGCTGATGATGGTGTGAAAGATAAAACAGCTAAAGAAAACTAAACGTTGAGTGCCTCAGAGAACATAAATTCCTTCTTTCATGCCAGATTGTTCATGTTAAACATCTGCAGGTGACTTCATTAATAGTGACTTGACATGGAGAATGTAGAGGGAACAGAAAATAATCGTTGAATGAAAACCTAATTCTTTTAGGAGAGCGTAAAGTTGCACAGTGCAGAGTATGTAAACTGCTAGTTTGTTTTTGTTGCCATCATCTAAGTGTTGGTTTTCTTCTTGTAGGTGATTTCAGTGAACCGTACGCTGGCAGAGAGGGGCCTGGGTGTTTGGGTGGATGGATTTTGAACCTATTATATGCTCTGACTTCCACACATGCCACCCTCCCCCCTTCTTTTAATGTTGTCAGCAGTCTGGGACCTGGATCATCCTGACGGTCCCAACCCCACCAGGCACAACACTGGATCTAAGAAGATTGTTTTTCCTTTGGGTTTTTTTGTTTGTTTTTTGTTTGTTTTTTGGGGGGGGTTAGTTTTTTTTTCAGATGTGCTCTTCCCCTCCTCCATTTCATTTGAAAAGAAATTAAAATTTGTTTGCAGGCATAATCTACGAGAACACTGCTTCAAAATAAGACAACTTTTCCTTGTAGTTCTTGAACACAAAAAGAACATCAAGAAGGAAGACAAAGGTACTTGTAATTTTTTTTTTTTAAAAAAGAAAATCTATATTGTAACTAAATAAAGGTTCAATATTTTTTTCATCACCCCCCCTCCCCCCCATCCTACCTTAATTTTTGCTCTGGGCCTTTGCACACTGACTGAGGATCGTCATGCTGCATTGAAGGACAGTCATCTCTACCAGACTGTAGACGCAACCGTTTTGCGTTTTCGTGACACCTTGGATATAATCATGTGTTGGTCGGTTCTTTTCAGAGTCGACTGGGTTGTTGTCTGGATAGCAGGTGGGAAGCCGAAAGGCCATAGCACTGGAAAGAGCAGAGGAGGTCAGATGGTGGTCCCTGGTGGAGCACCGAGCACTCAGCTGGTCTACTCAGCCCTGTGCCCTAAAGCATGTCTGCCAGGCCACATACAACTGAGGAGACAAGTCCTTTTGTGGGTCCCGTTTGCGAATTTTTTCCCTGGGGGTCTGAAGGGCTTCGGTGCTGTGTTTGCAGCAGTTGGGCTCACATGTGGTTAGGTGTTATCTGACAAAAAATCATGTATTTTTAGTCATCATTTTGGACCATCATGAAAACATTTATATAAAGACAACATAAGTTCAGATTTTTCACAGCACAGTCAGATTTTAACAAGGAAATAGGCCAAACAAACTGGTTATGATGAAGACAACGGTGGTGAATTAAGCAATTGCTACATGTCCTGAATTAATTTCATATTTAATTGCAACTAGCATAGTTTTTGTCAACTTGAGTCAAGTGTTCACTTCACCTGGGTTCACGGTCTCCACTGTGTCCTCTTGGCTGTCCACTATGTGTGGGCTGCAGCACCACCATATTGACACCAAAATAAGAACTCTCTGCATAGCTTTTTCCCATTGATTTGGCATGGCGCTGCACCTAAGTCTTATAACTGTAGGGAAAATCATTTGTTTGTAATCCTCAATGACATATGTTAGGTTTCTAAAGACTGATATAACTGTATAGATCCACTCTGATTTTGTTATAGCACACCAAATCCCAGAATCTAGTCTTCCCACTGTCCTGAAAACTGTATTTTTTATTTATTTTTTTTGTTTTGTCCACAATATAGGTCATCTGCTCTCAAGATAAAAAATAATAAAAGAAGGAACTGTGGACTGTGGGAACTCTATAAAAGATTTATTAATTTACAGCCCCTATAACAGAGTTGGAGTGCATTTTCAAACCATAGAAACACTTGTTAACAAATGGTTGAACATCTAAATCTGAAGGGAAACAAAGCTGCTAGTAGTGTGTTGACCTGTTTGTTGGTGAGATTACTGTATGTCTGATGCATGTCCTTTGGTTTAATAGTAATTCCAAAGAAAACAGGATGTTTGGAGCTGCGATTAATACACTATGTTTGTGATAGAGTTGATCAAGAGAGAATTTCAATGTTTCAATGCAGAGTGCTGCTATTAATTCAAAGCTCTGAGCTCTGCAATGAGTGAACTACTAAAAACTTAGACTGACATGGCAAAGAGACACTACACAAGATTTCATGTGCTGCCCTTTAATGCAGACCCAATGTTAATTATTAAACTAAATTCAGTTTGTGTCATGAGTTTGCATTGGCAATCTGTATACTGTAGTATATAGATTACCATCAGCCTGTCAAAGTACACTGTGATACAAAGCAGGACCTTGTTCTTTACATGTAAATACTGGAGTTGATTTGTTGATGAGTTGGCATAAGCCTGGGCTTCCCACTAACTCAAAGCTGGCTATAAGTTTATTTGGATATGATCTGTCCTCTAGTCTGATTGAAGCCACATGTGTCCATGCCTTCACGGAGCCTGAGTAGGTGGTATCTTGAAGCTAGCAATTGCTGCTCTCTTAGTTTTGGTTTAGTTCAGAATTGTCAGAGTCAGGAGTGGAAATCTTAAGATGTTATGAAATTGTGACACCCCAGTGTGTTACAGGAGCAGCAAAGTATGATTTTCTGCAAGGGGAGATTTATATAATATAAACACAACTTGAATGGAATATAAAACAATAGAAAAAGGTAAATGCAAAACAGGTTATAAGTGTAAAAACCATATGCCCTAAATGTTTTCTTTTTTTTTCACTCCCAAAGCCATCTAAAATCAGATGTTAAACACACACACGTATAACAATTTTAATCGTAAGACTTATGCAGCCAAAGAAACTGGAGGACAGAATAATAGTAGAATTGTGGCCATAAATTACATTTACAACTGTAGTTTAAGACAACAGTATATGTTTTTGTTACCAATTCTCACTAAACTTGCATCACTGATTGGCACTGATGGAATAACAACACTGGCAAGAATTCTGTACAGTGAAAGACTTTACATAATCTAAATGCTAATTGGGCAAAGAAGGGCTGTAGACAGACTCTAGACTGATTCTCTCAAGTAGCTATGCAGTAAATGTTTCTATGGGAACGTGCCAGCTGGAGGATACACAAAAATCTGTTGTCTTTATTACTACTTGAACAATGCTTGACAGAGTCTACTGGATGAGAAATAGCAAGATTTGTTTTAGCTGGCTAATGGTTAGCGTGGATCTGAGCTCATGAACTCAACTCATATGTTGAAACATGATTTAAGAACGTGGAACACTTTGTTCTGTTTTTACCGAGCAGTCTTGCTTTCTGGGCTAGTTAAACAACATTTGGAGGGCAGAGTCCTGCTGAGCAGTTGTGCGATAGGCTGCAACAGCATTTACAGTGGGTTTTCATTTAAGTTTGCATCAGAATGTGTCTTGTCATCATGGTATGGATTTTTTTTTTTTTTTTTTCAGACATTGATTCGTAATGTTGTTGAAGTCCAACTTTCCTGTGTTTGCACTTCTTGTATTGCAATGTTAGATTCAGCCTGAAGGGGCTGAATGAACCCTGTGAGGGATTTATTTTCAGTGGAAATGAAATCACTGTTACTCTAGCAATAAGGCAGCTTTATTTTTGACAAACTGAAGGACAATGGGAAAAGGGGGGCTTTAAGTGTTACATTCAACACGATTAAGAACCAGGAAAGTTAACTATATAATTGTTGTCAAACAACACTTTTAAAAAACCACAATAATGCAGACCTTCAAGAATGTGTCTCAGGAATGGGTAATTTGGTGGTTGATTTGTTAATCAACCTGCCTGAGGGCAGCTGATGGAGGAAAAGGACATGATTGTGCTAAAACATATATATATATAAAACTGTGCTATAGGAAATTACACATTTTGACTGATGAACCTACAAGACATGTATGAGCTCTTGAAGGAGGTATCCACATGTTGATGCTGGAATTGGAGCAGTAGCCATATTGTCTGTTGCTGGTTTGTGTGCATCTTTCCGCTTTGTTTCACCTAATGTCTGCTCTAGTCTGTTCCTCCTTTTTTTTAAAAAAAGAAAAGCAAAACAAAAAACAAACTCAGATTACATATGCTATGCTAGTATTTTTTCTCCCCCTTCTAACAACAATCCCTGCTGCCCAGAAACGTTCACCACACCTTAAAAATTCAAACTAGAGTTTTGTTCATTTCTCTGTAAATAAGATATTTGACTGTACTTTTCTATAACACTGGAGAGAAAGAGATATAAAGGGAACATTTTTTTGTTTGGTTTGTTCTGGCTCATCCTGCCTCACCTCTTTCAGCCACTCGGTGTTCTCGAGCTGTTGGACTGAGTGTTAAGTGTTTGCATAGCTAGACAAGTCATCATTTGATTATTTAAATGGGTGTTGAGCTATTGTGCCCAAAAGCATTTAACATGTACAGATCAGTTTTTGCTAGGCTCATCTTAAGTTTGATTTGTTGATTGTACAGATCTATTAGGAAAAAATAAAAGTTATTGAAAGTGTTTCTGGTACTTTTTTCCCAATTGTGTTGAATAGCAAATCGATTGATAGACAGTTCAGAGCTTTTATCACCCTTTATGGAGTCTAAAGTTCACGCTGTAATCTGACCTTGAAGTGACTGATACAAAGTATTTCAGAATATTTTCTTCCGTGAGTGGGGCATAACAGCAGATGACAGGGGGCTCCCACTGTGCAGCACCATAGCTGTGCCCCAGTTCCCTACATGAGCACGTTTGGAGTGTTTGTAACCTTACACTGACAAAGTATACCATGAGGATACCAAAAGTGGAAAATGCAAGACAGATTTTGTCATACATTCAATTGGTAGTTGTAGTAAGACATTACGATATATGGCAAAGGAAACACTGTCTGAGCCAAATTTCACAGTCGTCCAACTAACATTTTAACCCAGAATCACAAATGTCAACTCAAGTTAAGGGGTTGCTGCAGTCAATAAAGTTTATCCACGGAGCGCCACTGACATTGGTACCAAATTTTATAGTAAACAATGTTGATGAGACATTTAAGTAACTAGAGGTGCACTGGGAGAGCGCAAAGCCAAGGCCAATGTTCTGTCTTCTAATTGTAAATAAAGTGATCTGGATTCATACCAAAATCTATTGTTTTCTCCCTCTGTCCACGTTATCTCTCCACCAAAATTCATGAAACTTGCCGTGGTAGTTTTTGTGTAACACTACTGGTAGCTCAGGAGGATTAGTTGGGTGATCACTAAAGTTAACAGTGTGCAGCCTTCATTCAGCTGCAGATGCCTACATGTTGATTTACTTTTTCTTTTCCTCTCATTTTATTTTAGGCCTCAGTCTCTTCCTCTGTTTCACCTGATAGCCATTTACTTTCACAGCGGATGAGAAAACGTACTTCATCAGTTGTTACTGAAGCTCATGTAGATGCCACCTGCTTATTCTGTATCCCTACCATCATTAGTTTTCTTCAGACTCTTCTTCATGTTGCACCACATTAAACCTGTTTTTTCTGTGGTCACCAAAGTTGCACAGATTTTACCACATCAACTTTGTACCCTGTTTCAAGCAAACCAAAACCATTCCAGTTAGGCATGTAAATATAGGCAAACAACTTCTTCTTCTTCTAGTTAAAACCATGTAATTACAGAACAGATCACCAAAGATACAGCAAACCTTTCATTGCTGCAGGTGGAAAGGTCTCTGGCAGGCTTTCGTATTTTAAGGGTGATATATCTTCTTCCCATTTCAGTTAGTGACAAATCGTGGCGTCAAGTTACCGAAGCTTAAAGCACAGCTCTCCAAGGAACATTTAAATCCTGTACTTCAGCAATTGTTGTATCATTTACATATATTACTGTTGTTGTATGTTCCCGTCCGGTTTAACAGCCCTCAGATAAATCTTGCTTTAATAAATCCTACCGAGCAAGCAATGGAACATTCCACATACGTTTACTTGCTAAAGCTCCAGGAAAAATCTGCTACTCCTCTTCAGTAAATGTTCTTTTAGAACTGAATACCTGACATTTATATTGTAAAGGTCCCATATTGTGCGCCTTTTCAGCTGAATAGTGTCTCACATGTCTGCAGAATTTGTCTTTCAACTTTTCAGCTCAAAATATCCCAAAGATTGCTATTTTCACAATGACTATAACTGGTTGTAATCTTTCTAAACAGGCTGTTTCAGTGTTTAAAGCTGAAACAGCTGAGCTGCTGTTGTCCACGCCCCCGTCCTGAATAACACTCCCTCTACACCTGTCATTGACAGCACCAAGATAAACAGTTGACCATACAACTGCTAACACCCAAAGAAGTGTGTGAGATGAAGACTTTCTATTGCTTCTAACTTTATCTCTGAGTGCCTGTTCAACATGGAAATGTTTCAGAATTCACAGCATAGCTGTTGTTTTAAACTAATGTATATGGAGAGTTAGTCAGACAATGTTGCGGTTTAAATCCACATGTCAGCTGCAGATTAGGAAACACTCTGAAGGGACTAATGTGTCGTCTGGATGGGCTGCGTTTCAGTCATCATTTCATACTCGATGCTATGACAAAACATATTATTTGGAATTCAGCTGTATTAAAAGACACTATATGTGAGCACAGAGACTCTGGCTGGGTTTAGGTTGTTGTTCAGACATTTTAGAGTTAGCAGAGGCAGTTCTAGGAAAAGCTTATCTCACCTCACTAACTTCAGCCTCCTCCTCTCCTCTGTCCTCATGCCCATGACCTAGAAATCAATCTTGGCGCACTATCATTGGGGATATCTCAATTCTTAAAATGCATTTTGAGGGGAACAGATTGAGGAGTCTTGGTGGAGGTGTTATGAGTGAGGATGCACAGATTGATCCTTGCTTTCTGGTCTACAAAGTTTTTTCCATGGCCATTACATGAAAGGGGTGTGACAGCTGTGAGGGGGAAGGATTATACAAATTCTGAGCTAGATTACCATTGGAGCTAAACTTGTAGGAGGGCTTGAGGAATGGCAGAAGTAAACGTCTTCATACCTTAACAGGTTCTATTTTACAAATCCAGGTTCTTAACAACCACAACTAAATCACAACAGTCATAGATTTTCTCCACATTGGACTTTGAAGTTTCAAGAACTTGCAAAAACTACATACTTGGTATTTGTAGGTGTCACCCTGAAATGCAATAAGTAGAGGTGTGAGGAGCTTCACACAGCTGCTGTGTTTGTGATGCTGTCACACTAGTGTGCTTTGCCTTCATTCAGCTCAGACGGTCATGGAGCCACGCAGGAAGTCACTTATTCTGCTCTTCAAAATAAATGTTGGACAATCTCTACAGTGATCTAGTGAACAAAGCAAATGTACTATCTACTGCTTAAACATTTAAATCCTTCTACACTCTATGACAGCAGATGATCCCAAAAATGTTTTCCTCCTCTTCAAGTGACTATACTGCTGTGCTTACACTCATTTCAGCCTAACGATGCCACGTTTTGTGGCATTACCATTTCATAAAATTAAGATATTCCTTTTTTTTTGTATTACATCAGTTTCACATATGTTTTAGAAACTTCAGAATCTCCATTTCCACAGTTTTTGTTTCTATTCTGGATATTTTGAAATGTAATTCCACTGAAAAGGTGCATGCCACAAAAAATAAAAACATTTTAAAATGTTGCTTATGCCTAAGTTCAAATAATCACTAATATATTAAATACAATTTAAACTTCACATATTATTCTGTTTGTGTGTGTGTGTGTGTGTTTTTTAGTCAGTGACTGGCCTTACCTTAATCTTGACTTGCCCTCATTTTTAAAGGCTTTAAAGGTCTACACACTCTACACTGTTGTTATATGTTATTATTCTGCATATAATAAATAGTTGCTACTGGACTGCTCTCTATACAATAACATGATTTTGTCTTTCACATATATTCATTTTAGTTACTGAAAACTGCACTTGGTCCTCAGATTATATGTATTTATTATCACTAAACGTATGTATCTGTGGTACATCTTCCATGAACATTAATGTTCCAGTTATTTATTATTATTTCATTATGAATAAATTGTTAGTTTAGAAATGTTTTGAGTGTATATGATTGTGTCTTATTGTGAAGCTGTGTGTTGTGGCTGTCCTGACCCTGCCTGCTCACTTCTGTGCTATTTCTGCTGCTGCTGTGGAGCGACTCTTTCCCTCTGATTGTCTGTACAATGCTGGCATCAACCGTCCCGCTGCTCAGCTCTGCTTCTTCCCAACATTTGAGCACCGTGTGGATGTTATCAGCTCAGCCGGAGCCTGGCTGCCTCTCTCAGTGAGTATCGGAGCAGTGCTCCGTTGTTTTTTCCAGGTCGAATGACGAGTTTAACAAAACACAGCCTGAGCTGCTGGATTCGGTGATAATTGTACCCCAGTTTACCCACTTCGAGTGTTTTCATTGTTATGTTTTCTAGTACGAAAAACGCACAGTTTGTGTCAGTAGTGTGTGAAATTTTGCTGACATTTAGACAAAGCGATGTCAGACTGAATGCTGCGACTGACTATCACTGACCGAGGCCTTGACTATTCTGCCCGGGGGACCTGATGTGCCTGGTTGTGATTAGTTAGCCGAACAGCTAACCTATCGGTGCGTAACCTAGTTTAACCAAAGGCCGCTGCTGCTACTGTTATCTGTCATAAAGACCACGGTATTGTTTTTTTTAGTTCCGGTGACGAACCCAGATATTTAGAGGAAATTTTCACAGTTTTGAGTCGCTGAAGAGCTGAAGAGTACCGTTAGCCAGTTAGCAACGATATAGTCCGATAACAGCACATGCACAGAAGAACCTTCTGCTGTCCGCTGTCAGCTGAGCCACACGCCATGAAACAGACACACTAACATGCTAACATGGTCCAGCCTGTCTCCAAATATATATATGTATATATTAGAGACACTACACACAGAAAAATACCATAATAATACTGCAGTATTGTCTATGATCGGCACAAACTATTGCAGCTTCTCAGTGCAGCTGCTTCAAATGTAAACTAGTTCATTGTTGTCTTTTTTTTTTTTTTAAAGAATACTAGTGGTCACTAGTTTCTGTCATTGTTAATTACCGTCAACATTTGTGATGCTTTGTGATCTATTTGTCGGAACTTCTTTTGGTCACAAACATCAAAATATAAGAGATGACTGTGATTTGAAAAAGAAACTTGATGCTTGTGTAATAAAACTAAAATAGCCATAATTCCTAAACAGGTCACAGAAAAAAATCCACAGAAGAAGATATCAGATGAGATCACAGCTTGAGCTGCTAATGCATGATGGTTGGAGCATTTCAATAAACAACTGCGGTTCTTAGTGAGCCTGTAAAGATGCAGACCAGAGGGCGGTACTATGAAGCGAGATTAGAGGGTTAGCGAGGTATGTTAAGCCTGAAGTCAGAGTTTTCAGTGTCATGAAGGTGGGTCTCTTTAACCTACTAGATCTCCATGGCAACTTGTGCTGTGGAGCTCAGCTGGTCGGGAGCAGGTTATGTTCAGAGTTTTGGATTTAAATCGGCTGTAAGAAGCGTCTTCCTTTAACCAAATCATTTCCTGGTGATTCCTAATGAGCGATACAGATTTTCAGCTGAGAGAACATGTTTTATCTTCAAAAATGCTGAGTTGTGCCCTATGAATATATCCGTGAATGAAGCCGTGTAGTTACGGTACCGCACACTGTATGGCGTTGCTATGGGAACCCGACATGTATGAAGTTAGCGATGCAGAAATCACATAAATAGGTTTTTATGTTTGGTCCTGATTTGCTGTCATGTCTGTTTACACTGCTGGTACTGTAGCTGATAGAACACAGATAAGAACATTGAGTATTCTATGTAATAAATAGCAGTAAAATAAGCAATCAGTAACATTGATTTCACTGGTTTTAGTTTTTGTCAAGCAGACTCACACAAAGAAAGCCTGGCTATGTCAAACTTGTTTCACACTACTGCCCTCTAGTGGAAGTAGCTTCAAACAGAGAGGGCAAAAGGAAGAGCAACAGGAAGAGGGCTGTATATTTTCAAATTCTGGTGCATCTTTATTTATCTTGATGGTCTTTTCAATATTTCTGCCCACTGCAACTTTAAACCTGCATTCTCTCTAACAACCAGCAGGAAGTAGCTCCTCTGCAACAAACATCAGATTGTAAAAAAATCTATGAGACAGTGACCCGAGCTCTCCCTTGATTAAAAAAAATAAAATGATAATAAGAAATTCCTAACAAGTTTATGGTCTCGGTTGTTGGTGGAGTTTACATGATGTTGCAACAATTAGAGAAAACACTTGCACAAAAGTATTTCTTAAAATTTCCGATATAATTGTATTTGTTTAATCATTATTTAGGCCGTCATTACAAGCCTTTTTTGTTTATATGAGCATGGAACATCTGGCTGTCCTTGCAGCAGGATATGATCCCTTTTTTAATTTACATCTTGTGCAGCTATACAGCATAAGGATCAAGTCTGCATTTGTCTGTCCTAATCTAGCTTTCCCCATCTGTATGTGTGACCGGTTCATGTGCCAGTGTAAGTGCTCAGGTTCATGTGCCAGATGGCTCCTTGTGCTGTTATGTGACCAGCTTGAATGTTTATGTTGCTTTCATTGCTTTTGGTCATATACATGGCACAGTTGATGTAGACTTTGATACAAATGCGCACTCCGGCCGTTGATTTAACCCCAAAAATGAATCCCCATAAATCAAAGTTACATATTTAGAAGTTTTTTTTTAATTCAGTATCAAAATAGTGTAGATGTAACTCCACTCTGTTTTGCACATCAGCAAATCCCCGCCTCTATCACCCCTGACTTCTCGCTACATCATGTGGAACCTCACATAGTTATTCAGACATTTTATGTATTTTGTTTATTTTACCAGCCTTGTATAAATGAAAACATGACTTAAATAAATATTGCAGACTATTGTTAGAGTCAAAATCATTTCAATAGTTATTTTGCACTACACTGATGCAACTTACATTTGCCACTGACCGACTGTCATTACTGCATATTACTCCAGTGATTAGGTGAACCCATGTCTTAAGGATTTTCTGTAAGTACTTCAGAAAAAACACTGATTCTCAAGTTCAAGGAAAGACTTGCTATGACATACGGTGATTAAAATTAATCATGTTTCATTTTAATTACATTTTTATATAAATTAATTTTTATATCAAACATGGAATATGTACAATTTTAAGCATAAAAATAGCAAAAATATATCCCCAAACAAGTATCTGCTCTGTAAAGATATAGGGCTATAATGGCATCCTTAGCAGACAATGTAGTCAAGCTGTGTGTGTTGTAATCTGAGCTTCTGTCTTCTATATTTGGTCGTCTGTTTGGCCATGCAAGCATGTTAATGTATACGAGTCCCTCCCTTTGAAACTGTTGGTACTCTCTGCACTTACAGACTGATGGTGTCCTCCGTCACTGCTTTCTAAGTGCAAAACTGCAGCCGGTGCCTCAGAAATGTTTGACCGCTGAGCTCTTAGTTCATCCCTCACTAACCAGGTATGTTATGTCTGGTAGCAGCCCATACACAGAGTTAGCTAAATTATTCAAACATAGACTACTGAATAAAGTAAGTATCCGCAAGATGTTTGTTTCACTGTGGCTGAGTTCATCAATTTGCTCTGAAATTCAGTGAATAATCAGAATTTTAGTTTCACTTTCACAGCACAGTGCAGCAGGGTTTAGTGATTTGGAGGCTGCAGACAAACTGTCTTACTTTATTTTCACTGTTTCTCCAACTGAATGTTGGCGTTGGTGGTAGAAGAAGAACTGAAACCATTTTTTTGTTTTTTTTAAACTAAACTATTATTAACTGCATTAATTTTATATTCAAAAAATAAGAGAGAAAGAGGTTTTATTCACAATGTGCTGATATTTTCTATCTGTTAAAGATGGAGCTTTTAATTCTGATATAATGTTGGTTAGCTTAATGAAGCACATTGCACATGTTTTATTTTGTGAGTGAAACCTTTAACACTGTCCACAGTGCTCTGATCATTCCTATCAACACAACATTAGTGTCAATATACATTTAAATTTAAATACAGTGCGTATGAGGAAATAAAGCAATCTTTATTCTGCTCTTAAGTTGTTTAGTTTTTTCTCTTTAAAAACAAAACGAATGAACAAAAACAATCAAAAAGTACCGATACCAATATCTTTAAAGTACCGGATCGATAAGCAATATTGATAAAACAAGAAGTACTGTTAAAATATTAACAATCTCATCCCTACTGGTTGTGAATGAACCATTAAGGCATGGGGGAGGTTTACCTGACGTGTCTGTTTGCTTTTTGTTGGTCGTTCAGATTGAGGAAGCTGTAAGCAGCAATAGTGGAGGACAATCAAATGGCCCTTCAACACAGGCACGTTTTGAATGGTACTGCACATGAAATGCATCTCTGACTAGGTTTATACTATGTTATTTGATATTTCCTGCTTTGCTGGAACTTGTACATTCTGCAATGTGATGTAAATTTTACATTATTGTACATGGTATTTAGGGATGTCCGATATTGGCTTTTTGGCCAATATCTGATATGCCGATATTGTCTAACTCTTAATTTTCGATTCCGATATCAACCGATACGATATAAATTCGTGACTGCAGTCACACTTGTTTACACGCTTCACGACGTAGTTAGATGTCATCATTTGCGTGCCGGTAAATGCGTGCAAACGTCATAATTTTTTCTGACCTATTTTTAACGAGACAGTAAACTTTGAGTTAATCCACTTTTGCATATTTATCAGGGTAAACAGATAATGATTTTAAAGGTAACAATAATAAAACCACACAAATTGGAGGTCTGTGGGTGTGAATTGAGGTCAAGGTGGCCTTGGACTCGTGCGCCTCTTGAGCTGCACAGAAGCCACATGGACAGTAACAAAGGGCGAAGTGTCCCCATTACCATCAGCTATGCTCGGCTGTGAGCCACAGAGGGAGTGTGTTTGGGTTTTGTTCATGCGGCTGAACTTTGTTTCGTTATGTGCTTTCATTGCAATTTACAACTGATGTGTTTATGTGTATTAAACATTCTATCAAACAATTTTCTTAGTGCTATTGATAAAGTGTCTATAACTGATATATGTTGTTATTGTTTTAAGGCCCAGGCTTAGTAGGACTACACCAAAATTTAATTATTAACGTCAGTGTTGCAGCAGCTTTTAATTCATTGCAGACCTGCTTTTTGGTGATGTTTGGTTGACTCTGACCATCCGACCAATTGTCTCTTAGCAGCCGGTGATAGTTTGTGTTTTCTTCCTGATTGTGGCAGTGACACACCTGTGCCATGCACTTAATACTTACAAACTATGGTTTGCATAGTTGATTTTGGGATCTGAAGCATCTTTGACATGTCTCCAAGTTACTTTCCTGACTTGCTCAAGTCAAAGATTTTCTTTTTTAGATCTGTGCCAAGTGCTGAGACTTTCCCACTGTGGTGTTTATGGTGGAATGGAGAGTATCAAATGTGCCCTATTTAAAGTGGCTCATTGGGGTCAGCAGCGATAGTCAATTGTAAACACCCACAAGAAAGTAGGAGGCCATCTAGGGCTGGACCCAAATATCCCAATATTTGGTCGTGGTAGTGGTATCTGGGTAGCAATTTTGATATTCAGATATTCGCCCGAATACTGGGAGTTTTCTTCAAACAAAATTACCTGTAAAAGAAATTTAAAATTGTCAATGACATCAACACTAGAAATGCATTGACTTAAATATTTAAATGTGTTTTAATATTTTTCTGAAATACTTCATTGTAACAAATGTTTTTCTTCCATGTCACTGTGTGACTGCTGCATCATGATGTCATCTTTGGCTCCAGTCATTAGTCAGCTGTAACCAGTGCAACAGTTTTAGACAATGGCGGCGGACCCCTAAGGCCAATTTCGTTCAGTCTGAAACTTAGTTCAAAAAAGTACTTCACATTACCACAAAACAAAAAGGAGGTTTTTACATGATGAAAAGTTTCAATAGCATACAGCACAACAACATATTTTTCTGCTATTGTTATCAGACTGTGTAATGGTTCTGAAATGGAGACTGAAACACAGCTCATTAAGACTGCATGTTAAGCAGCAGTCACTTCTGGCTCTGCACTGTGACAATCCAATTTTTATAAATGTGACCAAGTTGGGCTTGGTGAACAATGTGAAAACATACAGTCCACACTTACAGTTCACAAACGGTAACAATAATATGAAGCCAAACTCTCTTAGCTTATATTCTGTGAACAGATCTGGATCTTTGAGCTACTTAAAACCACAACCTATGAGATGACTTGTTGTTGTAAATATGCGCTATACAAATAAAATTAAATTGAATTGAATTGAAATTAAATCAGTTTGAGCTGTTTCCTCTGTTTGTTCTAAAGGAGATATTGTTTGCTTTTAGTCGTCTATAACTGGTCCCTGGTCTATAGACATGATGTGTGAATTTTTTTTTTAATTTTATTTTTCAAACAAGGCTGAGCAGACCTGTTGATCAACCTGCACTTGCCGATGCTATATCTATATGCTAGATCTATAGCATCACAAACGACCACTAATAAGCCTGTCTCATCATTTATGAGTTATACAGTGGCACAGTTATCAGAAAAGTAAATCAGGGCTTTTTCAGTGGTTGCACTGGTGATACCAACTTTCTTAGCTGGTTGCAATAGCATGCCACTTGGTCACTTAGCATCTGCTCAACAATAAACTTTACGTTTTACTGATGTTCCCTCAACACCTCACATGCAGGTTAGGGTAAACCCTAGCTACCAGGCTGTTTGCAGAAAAGCGTCTGTGCTCGCCACTCAGTTACTGCAATGAGGCCACTCAGATATGTGATTGACATGTGAAAAATGACTTGGAAAAGAGTGCACAGAGTGACTAAACAAGACTGCAGGGCTAAGCAGCATGGCTGATCTGCATGACTGGGGTAAGGAGATTTTTTTGTAGGGCACATTGACAAGAAGTTTAGTTCCAAGTCATAGGTACTGTGTGATTCACATGATGTGCCACTCATTATGCGGCTGTTCAACTAAATTAATAACTGTTGCATTCAGAATACTGATTTAAACAAATACATTCTTCAACTCTGAATACTTTGGTCAACCGATCAGGAGTCAAACCAAGTATTTCACAAAGTAGCAACCGCTCGCACTTTAGAAGTTTTGCTTCAGAAGAACAGTGACAACAGTGTTCTTTCAGCCTCGACAGCCCAGTGGTCACACTGACCACAAGAAATATTTGTTCTGACAAAATAACAAGACAATCCTCTAGTTTGTATGTTTCAACTATGATTAGATACCTATGATTACCTTTTGAATGTATAAGTTATTACAAAAATATATTTAACAGTATTATAAAGTTGGTAAAGTTTATGAAGTTAGTGGAACTCGGAAAAGGGATCTTTGCAGCAGTGGTTCAGATAGAATACAATGTTTTAGCGTCTGGTGGACATTAGCAGTTAGTTTTGCACTTAAACAATGTGGGTGATCTGGTGCAAAAGCTGTAACAAAATCTGTGGCTGGGGCCCCCAGTGCCTTTCAGACTTGGGTTGAATTCCAAGTCATTTTATAAATTACCTTAGTGTAATCACACCCTTTCTGTCTGTCTGGCCTTCTTCTCATGTTCATGTGTTTGCACACAGCTGTATATTGTGACTGATCTCTTATTTCTGTACCATACTCTTGCAATGACTCTTGTTTTTCACTCGCATAAAGTTACAGTGTGGCATCAAGACTGCTTGGACCGACATCTTGTTTACATCCAAGACAGGCTCTTAGTAAATGGGAAACTAAGAGGGCCTGTTTATAGGCTGTGGATGGGGCCTGGCACTGCCATGTGGCACTGGGCAATCACCAGCCACAATAAACCCCCAGTGAAGCAGAAGGGAAAGGGAGGTGAGGAAAAGAGAGACAGGGATCACACATAGATTAAAAGAACACTACAACTATGCTGTTCCTCCATATGTCTACATTTTTGCAATGCCATATAACAAAACAATATCCACAGACTGTAATGGCATTTTTCTAATGCATAATGTGAAAAAAAACATTCCCCAGGGCTTTTTAAAACCTAAGATTAAGCAATTAAAGAGGTTTTGATGTTTCTTCCTTGTATTGAGAGTCAGGATATAAACGGGCAGTGGTACTGGGGTGTGCCTTTATTACACATGTGCTGGGGTTGTGTTTGTCAGCCAGAGGCCCTTTCATAATTCTTTATTTTAAAACTTTTGCAGCTGTGCATATGCACTTGGATTGTACTGTTCTGTTAGAGATGAATTACACCTGCTTTTCAGAGATCTGCCCACACGGTTACCAGCTTAAAACTACAAAACATGTCTGGGAAAGACAAAAGTTTGCTTTTGACTGTTATTTTTCTCTGAAGTGCAATCCAGTCTCATGTTGTATATCAGGGTAGGTCTGACTGACAGAGTGCTGCACCAATGACTGACACGTACAGAATGTGCTAACAGGATGCAGGAGTGCCTTTGACAGGCATAGCCATCAAGTAACATCTGCTTAACATCCACAATAACCAGCTATCTGGTTAATTCTTTCCTAACAGACACCAGGTCCATGGGTGGAGAGAGGAGCCAGACAGCACAAAGAACAGTGCATCCTGTTAAGATAACCGCTTATAGTAGACAGGGTGCAATTTATTTTCAATTTTGGCAGTTTTGAAGTGATTTTCTAAACTTGTTGTAGATTTGTGATATGCCTTTGGCATATTTGGCACTTGACTTTTGGGGTGTTATTGTGTCTTTTGCGACATCTTGCTTTCCTATTTGTAACTTAGAAGCTTCTCATGTGTAACTGTTCCATTGTCAATCATTGACTTTACATAAAGATGAAAGAACCCTCCATAAAGTAACCTACAGGCCTCCTGGACAGCGGTTTTTAACATCAGTGTGGTGGCTCAGGCCACCTAGGCAGTACCTGACTCCTCCAAACTCACGGTTAATCCAAAAATGAGCAAAGAGGTGGAGCATGCAAACACTGCTGGACCATGGACTATTCTGTGACTGTACCCACCTGTCACTCAAAACACTCCCACCCAGCATAACTTTGAGCCTTAATATAATTTAAATTGACAAGTTATATAAAAATTCACTCCCTGTACAATTATCATGAACAAGGAAATGAGTTTTAGAGACCAAAGCCGTTTTTTCTTTTGTTTTTTTTTGTACCTGGTTATAAACATGTTTTTGCTGTCAAGTTGGCCGTTTTGTCATGGTGGTATATCGGTATCACTGTTGGAGCCAACCTCTAACGGCCTTTAAAGGAACTGCAGCTTTAGCACTAACACATTGGCTTCAATTTTTCTTGTCTGAGAATAACTCTTTATAATTAATATTGATGCATAGTAAATAATGTTGATTTCTATATGTCATGGCCTATACAGTATCCCAGTATTATATTATATAATATACAAGATGAATATAATAATAAAATAGTTGGAGAGGCACAGTTTGGCCAAATGTTGCCAAAATCACTACACAGCCCTGAATCATCACTACGGGTTTCTTTTTCTCTGGTGCTGCTGAATATTTTAGTCAGAGTCTAGTGGATATTAGTGGTACTGCATCTAATGTCTTGCCACATTGATTGAGCTTTTTGTAGAGAATAAAACAGCACTCTAGAGTGTCAGTTGAAATACAGTGATGTACTTTAATTGTTGAACTTGTTAAAGAATTGTAGAAATAAAGTTTCTGTTACGAGCTCTTCCTAACACACTGACTGTATGCTCTCTCTTTAGGTGATGACTGATGTAGCTATGCGTGTTCCCTGGCGGAGTTTAACCCTAATCTCAACCCGGTGACAGGACCTTGGATCTAAGTATTCTAGTCTGTGCACACTCTGTAACACAGTTGGCCATGCTGGATGCAGCTCAATAGTGAGTAGCACTGGGTGGGAAACTCTAGTTTTTCTAAGCTCCTATCAGAAGACTGACATGTTTGTGTTACAATGAGAAACTGAGAGGATAAGTAGTAATAGTAAGTAAGACTGAGGGGGCCAAAGTGCGACAGAAAAGAAGAGCCATCCTGTCAGTAGGTTGGCAGCGCTAGAGACAGTCAGGCCCTGAGGATGACGAGCCTGTTTAGGCGCAGCAGCAGCAATGGAGGCTCCAGAAGCAGTGGAAGTGGAGGTGGAGGTGGCAGTGGCAGTGGACAGGGGCAGCTCAACAACAGCAGACCCAACCGGCAGGTCAGACGCCTTGAGTTCAACCAGGCCATGGAAGACTTTAAGACCATGTTCCCCTCTATGGACTACGAGGTGATTGAGTGTGTGCTACGTTCAAACAATGGAGCAGTGGACGCCACCATCGACCAGCTGCTCCAGATGAGCATTGATGGACAGGGATCAGATGACAGCTCCGACTCGGATGACAGCATCCCACCAGAGGTCAGTAAAAAGGGTCCAGTGCCTCCAACACCAGTACAAGCTCGGCCTGATGGCTTTGGCTATTGACAGCATGAAGCAAAGCCGCCTCTTTTATTATAATCATGACCATTAGTGTCAGCAAGTCCATTTAAATGCACACTAGTATCCTGGTTATGACTAGGTTTTTGGCTTATCCTGGTATGATTGGTGGTTGTAAACACTTTATCTTTGTTTTGGAAACCTGGATAAGACTTCATCATTCTGGCTGTAAGAAGCATTCACAGGCTACTTGGACTACTCCAAACACTACGACATGTGAACACTTTTATCCAGATTTTTGAATGTTCTTTGTTGGAACAATGCATACTAGACAACATTATCAGAATCCTGGTTACTGTTATTAACATGTATCCATAGATGTGAGAATAACCAGGTTTGTTATTTTCTATTTAAACAGGATATCCCAAACATGTTTAAAAAGAGGGTAAACCAGGATACTTGTGAAAACGAGAAAATGGAATATTTAAGAGGCGGAATCAGAGCCGGTATTTTTCAGATGATCTTCAACATTACCATGACACTAAACAAATTACCCTCAAAAGCCAGTTTTGTAGAATACATTTTCTTTTGCTTAATACAATATACTCACAGGCTCACCCCAACAATCTTTGTTTTAACCAATATTCGACTAATTATTGGCCTGAATGATTGTTGAGGCTGATATTTGGCATTTTTACCATTATAGGTATTGTTATTTTACTTGACTGACTATTAAAAAATTAGGTAAATGTTTTACCTTGGCTCTAATGCAGCCAGCCCTTGCTCTCCGCAATCACTTTGTGGTCTCAAGCAATGACCCACCCACTGCACTATCGGCTATTACATGGCACAAGCAACAGCCAGTCACTAAAAGCAATTGAATAGACCTTGACTATTGAGCACATTTACTGAAGGGAGATGCTCCGGTAAATTAGTGGCACTATGCATTGAATGTGAGGTAGCAGTTGTTGCTGAAGTTGTAATAGAAACCGCAATCTTCCACAATCATTCCTAGTGAGCCTAGTAATAGTAATCCTTTTTAATAAACAAACCTAGTTATGAATGACCTGCTCCCTGCTATAACATGCTGTTAACAAATATCTTTTAGTGTGTATTGGTTCCAAGTATAGGTTATCGACCTTGATCACCAATCATTGGTAATTATATTGGCCCTAAAAAAACATATTGGTCAGTCCCTAATTCCAAATGTTGGTTATTGGCCTTTCTCAATCACCAATAATATATACTGACATAGGCCCTGAAATAAATGTATTGCTCAAGCAATCGTTTAAACTACCCTTTTGACAACAGAGTGTTAGTCTCACTTTGGCAGCCCATTCTGGAGGACCTAATGATCTGGTTGCACCACACAATCTTTCTGCTATGGGGGGGAAAGTGCTCTGCCCTGTTTGTATTGCTTTAAACCAATCACAGTAATTGTCAGCAGGACTAAGCTAAGCGTGTGGGTCTAGTGTTCCCTCAAAAACAGAGATGGATGTAATTCTTGTGGTTAAACATTTGCATGCAGAGAGATAAGCAGTGTGGTAGGTTGCTGCCCAGACGTTGCTGTTATTTCTTTGCTGGGTGAAGAAAATGGTAACACAGAGATAGTGGAAGCGGGATAGAATGCTGACTGAAATGATCAGCCAATGGCAGGCTCATACCTACATCAGGTTAGTCAGACTAATGGAGTATCAACTAAATTTGCAATTCTGTTTTTTTTCCAACTGCATGACTGCACTTGTCACTTGTTTGTATGGACTCCATGGTTTTGTTCATGTGTGTGTTGTGGAGTTTATGGTTAAATGAAAGGACAGGGTCTGTAGTATTAGGAGTGAAGGAGTGAATATGTCTGAATTTTACTAAAAAAAAAACACACACACAAAGGTTTAGCAGTGGAAACCTGCTTGTTTGGAGATGCAGGCTATTCAGTGACTGTTTGTATTAACACATCTAAATTAAGTAACTGAAAGGATGCCACTCCTGAGTGGGGCCCCAAAGAACTGTAACTTAAAGCTTTGTACCAGAATAAATAAAAGATCAAACTCGTAACTCTAAGTTGAATCAAAATGCGATTCTTGTAAAAATGCACAAGGGTAAGACATTGAAAACTGTCAATCAAACAAAGCTTGTGTTTCTTTCTAGATTCTGGAGCGTACCCTGGAACCTGACAGTTCAGATGAAGAACCACCTCCAGTTTACTCTCCACCAACGTATGATATGCACATTTATGACAGGAAATATCCAGAGGCCCCACTAAACCCTCCTCCAAGGTAAGAGGGACTGATCTCTCGACTAGGAAAAGCTGAGGACTCGATAATGCAATTATCAGACTAAAAGCCACTTTTTACATTTTATTAAATTTTTGTGTAGTTTATTTATTTTTTTTGGTTAGATTTTTTTTTCTACGAAACCTGTTTTGAATTATTCCATCATAGAAAAACTCTGAGTTGTTGGAGTCACTGGGAACTCAAGACTATCATAATATACATGGTCTTTACAAGTGTATGTAAACTTTTGTTCACCACTGTTGTTGAGGGCATTTTGGAGTGGCATTGCAGCCGATAGTGCATTCACGCGCACACACACACACACTGACAGTGTTTCCAAAACATAAACAACCCCCCCCCCCCAAAAAAAAAAAAAAATAAAAATAAATAAAAATGCGACTGTTCATGAAAAAAAATAAATAAAAATGCGACTGTTCATGAAAAATAACCATTCTGCCTTTTTTAAAATGGCTGCCTTTTATTCGCAAACACTCATCAGGCATTTCTTCACTCAATAAAATATGGGAAACAAATACATTATTCCTGCATCTGACTCCCCCATCTGACTTTACTAGTATGCAGTTTAAAGCATATAAATAATTAACAGTAGTTTGACATAGCTACAGATTAATTGATAATGCAGTTGGTAGATTTACTAATGTGTCCTATTACTCCATGGCCTTTCAAAGATTTGAAGCCCAAGCGCCTCCAGGTCTGCAACAAGTCAGAAGCTACCGGAACTGGAACCCACCTTTGCTTGGAAATCTCCCAGACGATTTTCTGCGGATCCTGCCACAACAGTTAGACAGCATTAAGGTGAAAATGTGATTTATGCATCTTTTCCAAGAGTTTCTAGGTGGCTCCTTTTTATATAACTATTAAATGGGATCATTTGTGCTTTTGCAAATTTTGGCTCCCTTATTACTGTTAAGATAACCATCATCAATAAATTATTATGCGCCTATCTGTCCATCAATGTTACTGCATAAATTCAGACTTGTTCTGAGCTGAATGTGGTATAGAAATGTTACTTGCTCCGGCATGCTAAGATTGGTGTAAGGACAGTGAACAAAATGCCTGTTTGAAAGAGCTGTCAACTCTTAAATCATGTTTTAGTGGCATAGTCCATCATAGTGAACATCAAGTCTGAATTAATCAAGGGTGTGCAAACTTTCACATGGCTGCATTTGTGCATGTGTGATGATGGTCAGGCTGGTTTTGAAATGCTCCAGCTGTCACGGGCAACTACTGTGTTAGCGTTTGTGGTTGAAAGTAATTCTTTTTCATGGGCTCAGTCAGTCTCTCCCTGCCTGACATGTGAAACAGTCCATTTCGTTACTGTGCTAAACATGAAAAATATGTAGGGGGTCTTTTTAAAAAAGAAAAATGTAGAGAGAGAAAGATCAGACTTCGACATACTTGATGATGAAGAGTGCCGGCAGGCAGATCTCAACTAAGTCAGGTAAACTGAAAAAGTAGCTCACTACACTCAATTACAATGGCTAACGCAGTGCTACCTGTGAAAAAGAATGGAATTGATGGTATTTAGTAGGCTGTAGTGATGCTGGTGGATATTCAGACCTTTGTTGTGGTTTTTTGTAAATCAAATCCACGTTAGCTGTTTTCCCCTGTGAACAATCTGAATGCTATTGTAAACTAACTCACTCAAGATCTGCATTTATTAGTCGTAAGGTTAACTTCATCTTTATATGACCTTGGTGTATATTTCAAATGTTGAACAATGCCTGAACATGCCTGACTTGTTTTAAAAAATTAAGATCACCAGTATCAATTGAAATGAATGTGGAGCTGGTAGCAGATGTAGATAAAACACATGACGCCTAAAAATGCTCTCTTGTCTTTATCTTAGCAGAGCTCTCAGACCAGTCTCTCTCAGCCTTCATCATCCTCATCCTCCTCAGTTTCTTCAATAAGCCAATGGACAGCTCAGTCTGGTTCTGGGTCAGTAGCTGCAGGGACCACTGGAGGTTCAGGTTTGTCAACAGGAGCTACAGAGCAAGACAAGAAACTGAAGCAGTATCTTGAGGATGAGCGCATCGCCCTGTTCCTGCAGAACGAGGAGTTTATGAGAGAGCTGCAGCGCAACCGCGAGTTCCTCATCGCCTTAGAGAGAGGTATGATTACGTACACCAGTTTAAAGAGAAATTCTGCTTCTAATGCTGTGAGGAGGTTACTAACTGTATTGTTTCTAGCGTTATCATATTGTTCACGAAATATTAGCTGCCCAAAAACCCCAATGTTAAAATGTTATTTCAGCTGTGACATGCTTTAGTTTACAGTTGATATGGAGAAACTGTCAAGCCGTTTTAAGGTTGCTGTCATTTAAGGTTCCCTGTGGAGTTTTTCAGCTACAGCACTGCTATGGAGCTACTTTTCTATTAGTCCTGTTTCATTTGTTTCACATGCATGTGGGCTTAAATGTGGCCAAGGTACTACACATTCTTGCCAGGACTACAGGGGGTGGTAACTTGTTTTAATATGATTCATGTACGAACAAAGGCAGGGAAGATGACTGCAAGTTTGTAATCAAGAATCAATCCATTTTCTGTTACCGCTTTACCCTGTACAGGGTCATGGGGGCTGGAGCCTGTCCCAGCTGACTTAGGGTGAAGGTCAAGGTACACCCTGGATAGATTGCCAGTCTGAATGTAAATAGATGAAATGCTTTTTAAAACACTGGCTGCTGGTGTTTTGTGAGGAAGGAAATGTATTCAACACAGTTGTGAGAGGATCTAAAGTATACACACAGTGTGTCTTGGTGAGTAACACTGTGTAAAAATGACTTGTTTTTTGACAAGAAAACTCCACAGGGCAGCTTTAAAAAACTTTTTTTTTTGTGCTATTGTTTCCATAATTTGCCTTGATGCTGAAGTCCTATGCTTGTCTCTTTGGAATTACTTTTGTCTAAGTAATGAAACTTGATTGTTTAATCACACACCAAACAATGTGAGCACATACAAAGCTACTACCACTGGAGAATGTTGACACTAAAAAGTAAATAATGAAGACGCTGGTCTTTTAAAGTCATGGTCCGGGTGTGACTGCATTGCTTCCCATTTGTTTTAGGTTTCTGACTTTTGCTTGTGATTTTAACTTTATTGGACAAATATTTTGGGAGTGGAGGTTTCAAAGGACAGATATACGAGAGTACTTCAAAAGGTTCTCGACCTCCCCCAGAAACAAGGGCTGTAACTCCCATTTTGTAGCATAACTGTATGCTATAAAGTGTTATATCACTATCACAAAAACTCAAATGTTTGTCGTTGTTTCTTTACAAGGAGAGGAAAGCTTTGAGCTGGTGTGATGTTGCTGCAGGACAGTGCAGCCGTTCACGCAGCACAGGTCGGATGAGTAAGATGGGGCAACAGGTCAAAAACACATTTGCTGCTTCTTCCACTGTCACCTGTGCTGTGTGGACGGGTGCATTGTCCTGGATGCCAGCTCAAAGCTTTCATCTCCTTCATTCTTTGATTGCGTCAAACATTTATGTTTTTGTGGACAGTGATATAAGGCTTTAGAGTTTTACAGTTATGCCCCGAAAAGGGAGCTATGGCCGTTGTTTCCAAGTGAGGCGGAGAACTTTTTGAAGTACCTTCCTTACTGTCATAAGGTGTGGTCACACCTGTATTTATAGAGGTGAGACGGCAGATCAGTCAGTTAATTTCAGTAGAACTCATTTACAATAGCCTGAGCAACATGACTGCAATGGGGTCTGTGTACCTTCCATCCAAAGCTGTGTTCAACTTGTTTGATAAGATACACAAATTTCAAACAGTTTTTGTTTGTGTAGATTCCTGATCATCTAGTGGCCTGTTCCCTAAAATGAGCTTAGAATATGAGTCAGACTTATTTCAGTTAGTCTCAATTATTCATTCAAGTTATTTCGGTTCCATAAAGCAAATTAAATATAGTTGAGGCTCAGTTACTGTGGCAACCTGTTCTGGCGAACAAAACTGAGAACTGAGAGAGAGCCATTAAGCTGCGATAGGATCATTTCTACGATCTGTACTGGAGAAGATCAGAAAATTGATTTCTTATATATTATTGCCACATAAATGTTATCTCACATCTGTCTCTCTCTCAGAAAGCTTGTCACATACAGACTGAGACATGCTAAGTTTTCCATTGCCTGATTCATAGTTAATCTCTCATTGCCTCACGTGTGTTATGTAAGCTGGAGCCTGAACACTAGAGTTATACGAACATGGATTTATTGTTTAAAAATAATCATTAGCCAGCTGGTTTTATTTAGCAATAGATGTGTTCATAAATTTAATCTGAAATGGTCAGGGCATCATTTTTAACTGTAGTTAAAAAAATATAGTTCCAGTTTCAAAGTGCTCAGAACAAGGGGGATTTAGGTATTAAAAGCTGCAGGTAAAATCTATCTTGCTTTTTTCACCCTCTAACAAAGCGTTGGTGTTGGCAGTGATAGATGAAGTACTCAAAATCAGTTTTTTTTTTTTTCTTAAATTAAACTATCAACACAGTCAACATATTTTTTTTTTTAAAAATGTGAGCTTAACAAGAGAAAATAAAGCAATGTTAATTCTTTGTTATTTTAAACAAACAAAATTAACTAATACAAGTACTATCAAAGTGCTGCATCAATAAGCATTTATCAGTGAAAGTAGTAGTACTATTCAAATCTTAATGATACTCATCCCTGTATAAAGTTCTGTGCATTCCACTGTATATACAACATTGCTCAGTTTGTGTGTTTCATCCTTAGGGTGAACTAGTTTTTGTCTCAAAGTGTTGCTGGGTGTAATGTGTACCGAATGTTCAGATAACCTCAAACTCACGTTCCAGTTGGTGGTGGTGGTGGATATTGCTGTCCACAGAGTTGACATATTCTGTGAATTCATCTACTTCTTGGGTTTTGGTTTTGACCTGGGTGTCGTCCACATATCTAAACCAGCAATTGGGAGTTGAATACTTGAGAAGGCTCGGGGCTCTGCTTTGTAATTCCTCCATGTAGCGATTGGCCACAGTGGATGACACTGGAAAGCCTGGGGCACAGCCGTGCTTTTGTCTATAAAAACCGTCATTGTACTTGAAATAGGTGGTAGACAGGGAGAGGTTCAGCAGGACGCATGTCTGTTTGGGGTGAAGTAATAGTTCACCTGTTTATAGAGATGACTTGCAGTTGTTTTCAAATGGTTTCCATTGCCTCAGACGTAGATATACATGTAAAAAATGAAGTGACATCAAATGTTACCGTGGTTTCATCTAGAGACAGCTTCAGTTATTGCACATAGTTGACAAAATCTGTGGAATTTTGGATGTGATGTCAAGTATTTCCAGAGCTGCTAAGATGCTGACAAGGTGTTAGATAGAATATAATAGTTTCACTTGTATAACACCACAGTTATTTAGGAAAGTGTAAAGTAAAAATTTATTCTATTTCAATTTTGATAATTATGGCTTACACTTGAAAATAATTTTAAAATATTAGATTATTCAGTTTGTCCAGTCAGTGTTGTCCACAAGATGAACATCAACACCTTCCACAAGGAGTTGAGGCCACAGAATAGATGAAAAGGCTGGCCATTGGCAGTGTGCTGTATCAAAACATAAAAAGCTGACTGGAAGGGAAAGGTGTGGTAGGAAAAGGTGCACAAGCAACAGTCTTTGGGAGGATAAAGAAAAGTTGATTTAAGAACTTGGGAGAGCCTCACAAGGACTGAGGCTGGTGTGGGTGCATCAAGAGCCACCAAGCACAGATGTCTTCAGAAAAGATTCAAGACGTTTATTTTCATGTGTACAGAAAACTAGACAGTTACACTGTACAATGAAATTCTTACTTTGCTGATCGTCCTTAATCAAACATACACAATGCAGAAAAACCAAAGCATTAGTAAACACTGGTTTGAATGAAGCGACTGTGGCAGTGGTAAAGTTATTACAGTATGGATTATAAAGTGGATACTGCATTGAGGTAAACGCTTGTACATTATGTGTGTATAGCGTTTGGTAAGATGATTCCAATTTAGTGTGTATAGGGGGGAAAGGCTGCACCAGAGATGAGCTGGGCTGTTTTAATCACTTGCTGGAGAGCCTTGCTGTCCTGAGCTGTGCAGTTGCCGTACCACACAGTGATGGAGCTGCTCAGGACGCTCTTGATTGTACTGCTGTAGAAATTACACAGAATTTTGGTTGGCATGCTGAACTTCCTCAGTCTTTTCATAAAGTAAAACTGCTGCTGGGCCTATAGCTGTCACATTCTTAATATCAAGAATCACCAGAGACAACATCAGTAGCTTTTTACCTGGGCAAAGGAGAAGAAAAACTGGACTGTTGCGCCGTGGTCCAAAATCCTCTTTTCAGATAAAAGTCAATTTAGCATTTTATTTGAAAATCAAGGTCCTACACTCTGAAAGTAAAGTGGGGAGGCACAAACTCTAAGGCGTTTGTAGTCCAGTGTGAAGTTTTTGCAGTATGTGATGATTTGTGGTGTCATGTCATGTGCTGGTGTTGGTCCAATGAGTTTTATTAAGTCCAAAGTCAACGCAGCATCTACCAGATGATTTTAGAGAACTTCATTCTTCCATTCACTGACAAGCTTTGTGAAGATGCCGATTTCCTTTTCCAGCAGGACTTAGCACCTGCCCACAGGGCCAAAACGACTACCAAAGGATTTACTGACCATGATATTACTGTGCTTGATTGGCCAGCCGACTCACCAGACCTGAACCTCATAGAATCCCATAAGGGGTACTGTCAAGAGGAAGATGAGAAACACCCAACACCAAAACACAAACAAGCTGAAGGCTGCTTTCAAAGCATACTTTTCAGAGGTTGAACTTTGGATTTATTTATTTTTTTTAAAGAGGAAATATTCTAATAATTTGAGATACTAAATTTCTGAAGTTCAAAATTAAAACAAACCAAAACAAAAAAAAAAAGTTTCTTTCACTTTTTGTTCAATGTTGTTAGTCACTAAATCCGTACCAGTTGTTATTGCTATACTGGACACATAAAGCACTCATCTTTTTATTGGATTATTGTGTCTTTTCTGTTATTATGAGAACACAAGTCTACTGGATTGTACTGTGTCTTGTATTCCTATGACTGAAATAAAAGGGCGGTGAAACATATAGGAAAGGCAACATAGCACTCTCCTTCATTTAAGTTGCAAGAATACATGAAGAGTAAATCCAGGAAGCAGAGATGTGTCCTCTGTGGCCTGTAGGGTGATACATTTTAGTAAGGATTTGAAGTCACTGGATCATATTACATGGCAGCTATTGGGAAAAACTGTTTTCCACAAAAGTGTTTATCTGAAATAGAAGACATTGCAAAATCCAATAAAAAGAAGTGTCTTATTTTTCCAGTGGGTTAGTACGTCGCGTAGACTAGTCGTATGGACTGCAGTTACATACTATTCAAATAACTATATAAATTAATAACACATTAGCAATCAAGAATAAGGAGTAATTTATTGATGGTCCCTAAGTGAAACCCCAGTAACATAGATAGACCTGTAACTATAAAACAACATAGAAGTTGCTTTCTGGTTTTGGTTCAACTTTTTTTCTAGTTGATAATTGGAATGTGAAAACAGAAAATACATAATATTAGTTTTTTTGAGTTCACACAAAAACAAGACAACAAAATCATGCATTGTGTATTTGTTTATCTAGTTATCAAAACAAGTTGAGCACACTTTTGGATGGAGGGTAAGTGGACCCATTATTGCACAAGGATGGAACACTTTGGAAACACCCCTGGCTGGAATTGGCAGTGCTCAGTTGTGCTGGTACACTGTCAATTCTGAATATATGCAGATCCTTACAGATAGAATGCGTAATCCCGCTTTTGAACAGTAGTTTGAATAAAAATTACCTGGTACTTGTCTGTGTCACCAGAGACATGAAAATTAATTTTGCTGTACCACTTTCAGGTGTTTTCTTTGCCTTTCACATTCTATTCTTGGCACATTTAGAAATGCTCCTAGCTCTGTAAAGCTTTGTTTTTTTTCTTTCTTTCGTTCTTGTGCATATCTTTGCTGTTCTTTACTTGGACAAACCTAATTCTGTATGTCTCCATTTGCCATAGTCTTACATCTCTCACCCTATGATCAAGGCACTTGCTTTCATTGTTCAGTAGGTATATTTCGGGGTCCTGAACCATTTCATTTTACAAAGGAGGAACATAAGGATGGAAATTTAAGATTTTTTTATTTCTGGGATTAAAACGCCAGAATTATAAGAACATAACTGACTCCTACGTGGATGTGCCACTTGCACAAAAATTTAACAACATGAACAGTACGACAAATGTAATTTGTCAGTGAGTCAATTTACATTTCACTACCAAGACACTAGATATTTGATGAAAGAACGTTCAATTACCACGAAATGTGTCAATGGTCAAAATGCTACATTTTAGCTATTCTGAAACTCAAATGTAGGTGCAATGAACCAAAGCTTTTAACTTTTGCCCCCTCTCAGCAGAAACTGGTAAAGACGATCTGGTGTGGAGGTTTAGAAGTTTGGTCATTACACCCTTATTGCCAGAGCTCCTCACATCTTGGTTCCACACATCAGTGGTCATAACATCTGCTCTCTGTTTTTAGATCGCTTGAAGTATGAATCAAAGAAATCAAAGTCCAATCATTCATCTAGCATGGAGAGTTCCACAGGTAGATATCACTCATCAAGCTTCCTCTGCCAACCTATTTGCAACTGTGTCTTTGCACATTGATTTCTACTGAATACTGGTCTGTACGTCTATGCATTCACTGTGATACTTGTTGGTTGTGTCAAGCATCTGTGCTACAGACATCACACGATAAATACTTGTGCTTGATGTGTTTGACATGTGCATGTACGTAAGTGTACAGTGTGGCAGTGCTGTTGTGTCTTTGTGCAGGAGAACAGTACTCTGCCACTTCAATGGAAGCCATCTCAGATGACGCGTTGTTCAGAGACAAACTCAAACACATGGGGAAATGTAAGTTTTTTAATTTGTGATGCTGCTGGTATTTCAAAAATAACTGCATTAGCTTTTAAGGCCATTGCCTGCCGAGTGTAGTTAAAGGCCTGTAATGTCTTCTCACTTTCAGCAACAAGAAAGAAGCTGTTTGAAATTGCCAGAACGTTTTCAGAAAAGACGAAGAGGAGAAAGACAAAAAGGAGGACGCTCCTGAAGCATCATTCGTATCCTTGATGCAACTTGGGTCTTTTTTTCGTCTAAGGTTGTAAAGTCGGCAAAAAGATGGTGCAAGAGGCCATCAGACTTACAATCGTGCAGCACACACTGATTCTGGGGGCTGGAGTCTATCCCAGCCAACTCAGGGCGAAGGCAGGGGACAAACTGGACAGGTCACCAGTCTATCACAGGGCTACACATTCAGACAAACAAGCACACTCCCATTCACACCTACGGACAATTTAGAATAACCAATTAACCTCAGTATGTTTTTGGACTGTGGGAGGAAGCTGGAGAACCTGGAGAGAACTTACACAGCAGAGGGAGAACATGCAAACTCCACGCAGAGAGATCCTGGATGTCCTACCAGGATGTGAACCGGGGATTAGCTGCGAGGCGACGGTGCTAACCACCGAGCCACAAGAGCCGCCATGCAGCTCCAATATTTAACAACCATATTAAATTGTCTCTGATTTTGGGTGAATTTAAATATGGAAAAAAAAATGATGTGAGATATTGTCGTTTAAACATTGCCTCAAATTTTAATGCGCAATAAAGCATGCCGAAAGTGGGTCAACCGGCAGTTTTTAAAAATTTTAATCTCAGAAGGTGTATGATATATCAAATTAAAATTTCACAAATACAATTTTACGTATCCATAGATTAGAATTAAGAAATGTTCAGGCAAATCAGATGGTTACAGTATTTTAAGAAATATTCAGGCAAATCAGATGGTTAACCAGAATTCTTTCCAAAAAACTTGATGATTTCTATGTTTTTCGATAGTTGGCATGCATCAGATTTGCTGTCCCTCTCGCTCCCATTGCTTGTTCTCCTCCCATCTCTCCTGTGCATTAACATGCATAAGCTCGAATTTGCATGGGACACGCTGAAATAATGCAACTGCCAATTTACAGCTATACAAACAAAAGATTTTATATCAGTGCACACGCAAAACAGACTGCTCATGGCCTGGAATAAGATATTCACAGAATTTGGCAAAAACCTCTATCAGGTTATAATCACTAACTTTACCTTTAACTCGGCAAATAAAGCCATTCACTTCAGTAACAACTTGTGAATCAGCTCTAACACCTAACTTTACACATTCTAGTCTTCCACTTGCACAACAACAGGCGATATAAAATCCTTCCTGCTTTGCCTTAGTGTGGTTTGTTTGTTTACTGCTGGTGGACAAATGAAATCCATATGAAAGGATGCAACGCCATTATTATCATTATCTCCATAAGGACTTCCATACTCAACAGCATTATTGCTGAGATTTTTTAAAGCTTGCATACATCACCAGCCATGGCATTCATAACTGGGATTTATTTGTCCACATTCATGAGTCTGTGATTTGTGAGAATGATCTGGCTGGCAAAGCTGGACGTCTAGTGTTCTTAACTGAGCTTGTTTCCAGATTGGGCACAGCCAATTCTACAGCCAATCTCCTAGACGATGTCGAGGGAAACCCTTGTGGTAAGAAAGATATGTCAACTACACAATGTCAAACATTTTGGTTTTGTTTTTATATTTTATTCAGCAGTGGCCTACTGGTCTGGCTGTTCCCACAGATGTCAAGTGACACTCCACACATAGACCGAACACCCTGTCAGCACTTATCCATCCATTCAGTCAATGAAGAAAGAGCTGACCACTGAGCTACACATCAGTTTTGATGTAGAAAAGAAAAAAAATCATAGAACCTAATCAAGAATAAAATAATTGTAAGACATAATATGTAACATTTCTACATTAGAATGTCTAAAACTGACCATATAACCATGTTATATGTTTTGTTCACTTGTGTACCGGTACTTGAATATTTGTCAGTATCTTCAAGCACAGATTTTGAACTGCCAAAGGCACAAAACTTTGTTCACACAAGCAACTACATGCTAGCGTAATGTTGAAGATCAGAGCTAAGCACAGTCCTATTAACTGAGTGCTGCCCAAGACCAGATTAAGGACCACCTTGCAGTAATTGTATTACTACTTAGTTATATAGTAGCACACCCTTATCAAATTATTCAATTTACTATGATAGAAATATAAGCCCCACAGTAGTAACTGATCTCAGTGCAACAAAAGTAATTACTGAAACTGAAAATGTTAGTTTTTCATCACTTCGTATGTCCACCCTTTTTTTTTTTTTTTTTGCTAACAGACTCAGTCCTCCTCTGCGTGAAGGAGGCCAGTGTTGCACAAGTTTCTGGTGAGATGTCCTGCCATTCCTTGAAGACTAATTTCTGTCATTTTCTAAATTTTAACATACTTGTCCAGGTCATAGTTGTTTTTTTGTTTTTGTTTTTTTGTTTAGTGATTTTGGCAGTGTGTCTTGGATGCTTAGAATGCTGGAATATTTCTTTTCTACCAAGCTTCTGCAGACTGGGAGTCATCTTGTCAGTGCTAGTGTTTTGGTTTATCCACAGGCATTAATGGTGCCATCTATAAAAGTCATCTCCCCAACATCTTTTGCACACATACAGTCCCATATCATCACACGTCAACCTTACAACTTTTCTCTTGGGACTATGCATTTACTGAGGTAGTCCTGATCAGACCCACACCAAACACAGAAGTTTCACAATCTGATTTTTCTTCTCCATGTGGAGCCATACAAATGCAAGTCATTTGCATATGTAGCCAATAGGTCCAAAACTAAGAAAGTTCTGGTGTTCACAGCTCACTTTATAGCCCTGTTCATGTAGTCAGGCTCACTGGAAATCAGATGTACTCAGTTTCACTTATGTGTCAGTAATCACTTGAGTTGCATTGAGAGTCTATTTTGAGGTCTGTATTTTCAACATAGCCCATCTAAAGTATTTGTTTCTGATGCTTCATAAAAGGAAATATTCTGCTGTTCAAGTTGGAAATAATGCAGTTATTGAGGGCTGATACAATTTTTCATCCAACACAACACATTAAGTGATAATTCACATGGGTATTTAGTTGTGTACAGTTTTAATTTTGTCATATTGTAATTGTTGTTCTATGTACATAGTATAAATATGTACATACTGTATCTAGATAAAGACAAGTATTTTGACATGGACACTGACCTCAAAAGGCTATTTAATAGAAAATCAAACAGTAATACTAGAAGGTACAGTCTACTGTAGTGATGATTTAGAGATTTGTTCCACTGTCAATGTGTGGTGATACTGTTAAGGTGAACCACCCACTGTTGAAAATATTTTCAACAAATAAAAATAAATGGGACTTTTGTGCTCTTGTGTGTGTCCAGAGGAGGATGGTCAACCCAGAAGAGCAAACACTCAGGAAGAGACTGAACAACGTAACGAGCCAGTATCATGGTAAAATACTGCTCAGTCATTTGAAAGATGTGCTTCAAATTTGTCAAGTTATAAAGACCATGTTGGAATTAGTGCACATACATCAATATGAGAGCAAAGTTAAAGTTGCTCTGCAAACACAATGCCCATCACTCCGGTTACAGGTCAGTGTGTGATGACCTCCATCGATGATACTGTTCTCATACACATTAAAGCAGTTAGGGAAGCTTGTCCAAGAACACAGCTCTATATTTAGAATGGATGTAAATGCAAACAAATTAAAAACAATTACTATTTATTTACACACAGATGCAGAATCTATCCCCAAACTGACATGCGTTATATATTTTTAATTTCTGCATTTAAAATCCTTTGTGTCGCCATTTGGCTTAGGAAGGACAATGAGGACTGTCTTAAGTTTAATCAAAACAGCCCTTCTCAACAGAAAGCACTGTCATTTTTATGGCTATAGCTAACATAGACTGCCTCAATTCAACCTAGAATTTCAAATAAAGCTCAGTCACAATACCATCCCAACTGGGTGATTTACCTTTTTGGGGGGTTTCTGGTTGCTTTTTTAAGTTTTGGATTTTTGAAAGCCCTAAAACTGCAATGTTATATGTGACTTAGTGAGCCAAAATCCCAGAATAAAGGTTAGTGGAATATTTGCTGAATTCCAAACTGATTTCCTGGCAAATTATCAGGAAGCCACAGTCTGATTTGTTGTTTTCTCAGATATATAGAGCTGATAATTACTGGGTTTGCTGCCATTAAAATAGTTTGTCCTAATTTTACATATTAGACATTCTGCTATTTGCCTTGTAAGTGGAATCTGGAATATAAATTGGAATCAAATCATTTTGGGCGGAGGCAGAGAGAAATTTGTTAATTAAAGAAAAATTACCATCTTTACCTCCAAAACCTTCTAAGATGATTAAGTTGATTAGTTTAGTTTAGTTTAGTTTAGTTTAGTTTAGAGTGGAATGATGCTGCGGCTACAACACATTAAGTTCTTTTAAAACAACATGGCATATTATTACATGCAGGTAGCAGATAGCAGCCCAAACCATCTATTAACCGTCCCTGCCTATCCTTGAGAGAATCACAGGGCCTGGCTACAAGCTTCTGGAATAGGCCTTTGTAGGCCAAGGTTAAAGTGCCTAAAACTTTTGCACATTGTGTTTTGAAGATCCCTGAGCCAGATTTAATGTCACTGCATAGAGGAGGAAGGCTTGGAAGCCTGATATTCTGTCTGTTGTCATCTGAGCAAATAAAGTTTATGACATTAGGTTTGAAAAGATATGAGCAGAAATCCTGTAGAATCTGGTCTCAACCTGTGATGTACAGCAGCTTAAAAACAAAAGTTGTACAGCTGTGTGTTGATCTGTGAAGGGTGCTGATACGATTAACTCTCGTGATGTTCTAGTTCTCTGTTGTCCTCTGTATCCTCTCTCAGAAGGAACCACTTAGAGGCACAGCACATGTTACAGCCCCCAGTTTCCACAGGCAGGTTCTAAACTTAAATCGAGTTATGGCAGTTGCAATAAGGTAAAAGAAATTTAGGGAACTTAAGGGTACAAGTGAAAGTGCCACTCACCATGATTCCATCTTATCTAAAGGTCACTTGCACAACTTAATTCCAGGAGACTAAAAACTAATGAAATGAACAAGCATGTGCCCTGTGTCTGATAGAGGCTGTGTCTATACTAAATGTATACAGACTTCTCTATCTTCCTCTCAACAAAACTAAAAATAAAATGTTCCTTTCCAGTGTTTCAAGCACCTGAACACAGTGCTGTCTGTAGTTCTTGCAGCTTCTAAATAAAGCACAGACATTATCTTCATTCATTGTTTTATTTTGGGATGAAAACCATAATCATCTAGACTCTCATCTGCATTTCAGATCCTCTCTTGCTGCACCATATCAGGGTTACCATGGCCACGACAGCATGACCCATGGGTGGTGGCTTTGCAGCTCTTCCTGTCCCCACCTGCTCACCCCACCCTAATCCAGCCAGCTGATGTAAGGCTCAGCAATGAGTTGAGACTCACACCCCCCCACCCTCCTTCCTGGGGAGAGGAACTGGACTGTTCTCCGCATTGGGCTAATTGTCTGTAAATGCATTATCTCTGTATTATAACACTTTGTGGATATATAGTTTTAAATGTAAAGGAAAATGCATTAGTCCCTACAGTATTTGGTAACTGCTTCCCTTAATCAACTGAGAGAAACACTAGCATAGTAATAATCTTTCCATATTAACCTGTGTTACTTTTCCAGACCTGTACAGTAGCAGACTACATGTTTCTGAATGGGGTCCCTCAGGCAGGGCATTTCAAATCCAAAGTGTGCACATGCCCCTTTATATACACTAAACCATGTAGAGCTTTTTTACCATGTTTTCTTAATCAGATTGGAATATTTTGCTGTTTTTGAATGTTAGGGGTTATGTAACTGAATTTCTTATATGTATGAATAATGAGGCCATTAAAGCTGTCGCTGCCCAAATGTCAACACTTCACCGTGACCCTTATAACCATTTGGTCACATTTAATGGACTGTGTACTTAGAAAGCATGAATGCTGCGTTGTTTAGAGTAGTGTACTAGTTTGATTTGTTTGGCAAGGTGAAAAAAAAAAATCCTATTTGTATTGTTTGTTATTGTAGCAGCACTAGAAGTACAGTTGCACAGTTATGAGCTGTGTGTCATAACGTTGAACCAGAATTACAGACTGAGCAAGCATGGTTATCATGCCAAGGACAATATGAACTTTCTGACTTCAAAAGGCAACCGAATTAAAGTGGATAACTTTAAAGCCCTGGTACACAAGGAAATGGTAGTTGTCCGACCAAGTCTAAAGGCAAACGTGTGTGTAGTTGTTTTCTTGAAAGTGTGGAAGTGAAAAAGTTTTTGTTCAAGAGATGACCTGTGCATCTATGTTTGCATTGACGCACAAGGACAGAAGTAGTTGTCTGAGAAGAGAAAGCTGGAGAGAGGGCTTAAAACACCTCCACTTTAAAGGTCTTTTTGGGTCTGCTCATTGCTGAGGAAGAGAGAAGTCCCAACCTGGTGCCTCAGTTGGACTCGGTCCAAATCATTCTTACTCTTATTAGGTTAAGTAGCGTCTCATTTTACTGCCATGGGTCTGTGAGTATGTCCAATACCCGAGTTCATCTGAATGTACCAGAGCTTGCTCAATATCATCATCATTCATTAATATCTGGTCTTGTTTTTACAAGAGGTGGAAACAGAACTGAATTTCTATTACTTTATAATGGCTCATGATTATTAATATTATATTGCTGCTGTTTATGTTCTCTCTCTGGGTTTGGCTGTGTTCAGGTTCTTCTCAGATGAGGTCTCTCTCTCTCTTTTTTTTTTTATATAAATGAATGCATGCATGTCAGGTCTGGGTAGGTTTTCCATGGGTCTGTTTTGGTGAAGACCTCTCCTCCACATAGCTGACTAATCACTGTGTCAAGTGAGTGTGACCATAAGATTGTTAGTTCAGAGAGTTTCAAATACTGTCACATGCAGCCCGCCCAGTGCTATCATTACAAAGGTGCAATTGGTTGCAGTGTCAGACGCTGGGTGAATATTCAACAAGTGCTTTGTGTAAAGCATAGTTCGGCCTTCAGAATAGTAGTTGCATATGGTTTCCTCTTTCAGGTGCTCACATCCACAACAGTAATCCTACTTTGATGAAATAAAATGAGCATGATGCCCAGTTTAGCTGAATTAGCTGCCTGCTATTTTCCTATTGTGGTGGCTACGTTCTGTAATGACTGCAAACCTGTGGCTGCCTGGGAGGGAAGAAACTCTTCAGTATGTGCTGGCATGGTAAGAAGCCAGTGAAGGTTCTCAGCTGTGCTGCTGCAGCAGTGACTCCTGCTGGTTGTCGATGGTTCTTGCACCATAGAGACACAGCCCCCCACCCTATGGTAAAGCCTGTTGCTGTTACTTTGCAGAAGAAAAAATTGGACTTGAGACAGTATCTCACACAGCAGCCGTCCTTGGGACAGCATTACAGTGCTTGCTGAAAATAAGTGTAGCATCAAATTGGGTACCCTTCTCAATAAATGCCGACAAAGATACACCTTTGTATTTTTAAAAACGTGTCTTATTGGTTGGAATTATGTTGGTGTGCATTTTTGACCTTCTCTGTATGTTTTTTCTGTTCTGACCTCGCCTATTGAACCAAACTAGGAGTCTCAAATTCACTGCTCTAGACACGTCCACAGAGTTTTATTCACTGCTTCACTTACCATGTCGCATATATTTTTGTCAGGTTTCCAGAATTCTTGCAATGAACCAAAATGACATTTTTGAGATGTTATGAAAATGATATCACTCAGATTACGTTGCAATGTCTTTGTGCAAATCACACCTTTGTTATCCTGTCTTTCCCCAATTCGACATTTTTAAATGCCAGTGTGTAATGACTTGAACCCTGGCATCATGTGTAGGCGCGAGAGTATTAATGGTTGTGATTTCCACATGAATAATGGGATGACAACATGTGTGAATTGTGATTGATTGACAAAACAACACAAAAGATGCTTGCGAGGTTTGGATCTGCCTCTTTTTCCTTGTTGTTTTTAATTCTATGTGTACATGTAAAACTAGCATAGATGTAAAAAGTAGTCATAGTCTAATGTAGCCTTTGTGAGCAGGAAATGTGTGCTGTGTGTATGCGAAACTTTACAAGGCAAGGCTTCCAAGAAAACACCCTGATTTGAAACTCTAATTAACTTACAAAAAGTGAAATCAACTAGTTTCCTCCCTTTGTGCATCAAAGGGTTCAGAAAATCTCCCCAAATGAACTTTTCTGGATTTGCATTTTGTGTGTTATTTATCCCCATTAATTAAAATACTTAAATGTGATTTTTTTTTTTTTTTTTGCTTATTTTGTGATGAGCAAAGACTGAATGTCAGTAATTTGATAGGTAATTTGTTAAAGGACCATTTCAGTGTTAAATGCATGTCCAGACCATTGACGCATATATTAAATTTAAAGCTCAATTTACCAATCTTCTTACATGGACGTTGATCAAATGGCTGTGGAAAGAGCACCACTCGTAATGATGAAACTACCAACTCTTTAGTTCACCTCAAAGCCCTTATTATTATTTAGATATTCTGCATTTTAGTCTTTATGGAGCAGCTGTATTATCGAAACATATTAAATAAAGCCACGGTTCACTGCCAGCTCAGCAGCTAACGACACACAGACACAGGAGACGGGAGGGGAACACAGGAGAGCATTTAGCAGCTAAAATATCATATTTTTCTCAGGAGTTGGTGGAGACCAAAAAGAAGTTAAAAGATGGAAAATATCAGACTTAACTTGGATTCATCAGGTGGACACAAACTCCAAAATGAATGCCAATGTGGCTGCTGTCATCAAAACTGAAATAAATGGAAATAAACAAGCAAAACGTTGTTTCTTAAAGGTTAGATGTCATGTTGCTGGGTTGTAAAGTCAGCAGGTTATGTGAATGATGGAGTGGTGTTTCTTCAAGGGCCACATTTGTAATCTCATCAGAAAACAGTGAAATGTTAACTCACTTTGACTGTGTGCTTTGTCTCATTTTTTAAAGATTATTTATTGACGTTGACTGTAAAGTCAAGTTTGCACATGCTTGTTTTAACATTGAACTTTAAGGTCAGACCTAAATGTGTTTATAAATGAATTACTTTTATTGGCCTTTTGGAGATTTGATTTGTATAACTGGCCTCAAAAATATACACATTTAAATCGCTAGAAATGGCACAAGCATATGCAGTGAAAATGGCAATAAAATCATTATTTTGTTCAGTTTCATGATTTTACATCGAAGGCAAAATGTTCAAAACAATCTGAGAACCCAGTCAATGTTAGTCACAGGAAGTCAGAATAGATGGGTCGCTTTTATGTTTAGTCAATGACCTTTTACCCACTTCCTAATCGTTCACTGTTTTGATTCCAGAGTCATATTATCAGTACACTGTTGCATGTCTTAGTTCATACTACCTTGTTGTCTGTTAAAGTGGACCTTGATGAGCTGGCTTCCAGAGCAGTTTTGGGCAACCTTTTTCTGTCTGGCTTTGCTGTGATCTGTAAGTGGTTGATGTTTGATTAATTTTTAGGAAACTTGTTAATGTTTCTCCGCTCAGGGAAATCTACCGCAATTAATCTCTTCCATTTAGATTTTTTGACACACGTTACAAGCACAAATTGTCCACACAGGATACCGTACAGGTTATTTCCTTAAGCTTAAAATGACATATTGTTATTAACATTTAGAACCATTCAGAAGTCTTAGTACTTACAGAGAGGTGCGTTTTTTACATGTAAAATAATCTAAAGTGAGCAGCTAACAATTTGAGAAAAGCTAAAATTGCTCTTTGGGTTTGTCTCTGGTGGCCAATTAGACTTCTGAAATGTTGGACTGATTATTTCACCACGTTCAGATTTTTCTCCTCAACATTTGCTCTGCCATACTCAATAATGATAAGTCTTCCAAAAAACTAGCTTGTGTTGTCATCTCACAAACCTCCGCTACTGATGCAGCACTGTAGGAAAAATCCACTGTAAAGTGTCTGAGCAACAGCTCAAACACAGATATTGATGTGCTTTATGTCCAAAAGTTTGTTTAGTCATTTTGATGTGAGGTTCTTATTTTGTGGAATTGATCAAACATATTGTCGATCACATCATCGATCATGTGTGTTACAGGCATACATTGTGTTGTGGTTTGAATAGAGTTTGTCTTTGCAATTTGTCACAGGTGCTGGAAAATGTAGGAAAGCATTCAGATCTAAACAACTGGAGCAATGAAACATTTTCTTCAGTTGACATCAGTGTTGGATTAAATCAAAATGAAAACTTAAATTTGTATAAGATATGCAACTAAAGTGCAACTTATATCATTAGTGTATTATTTGATTGGAATTTAACCATGTATAAGTAATTTCTGCATTGGTGAGACTATGTATAAATGAGGCAGACTGAGAAAAGTGTGCAAGAAGTCATCCCTGCAATGTACTGAGTGGTGCATTATGATGTGGGGCACGATTTTCTTTTTAAATACCCACAGTGTGACTAGCTCACATCAGTCATTTGAGCTGGTCAGCAGCAATGCTTGAATTTCTTGTGTGCCACTGAGCAGCTAAATCATCTGAGCAAATGAACAAAACACAAAGATGTTGTGCAGATTTGGTGGTGTGTGTCATGAATGTAAATGAACTGAGATCAAGCCATTTAGCAACAGTACGTTGTTTACAGTGCACATGAGCTTTGGGCTCTGCTCCTCTGTAAGATTGTATGCCATATCCACAGAGCAGAACCACATCCTGGGTTTGACTTTCCAGCTGTTTCATATGGAACTAAAGTCTGTGTGTTGCAATTACCGACCATTTAAACACGACACACACTAACTAAAAAATAAATAAATGGAATTGTTGCATTTAAAATTGTTTTTTAAGGAACTTTACACTTTTGGCTCAACTTCATTTTTAAAGACGGTAAAGAATAGAAGATTTGTTTCACCCCACAGTTGTGTCATGGTTGTTCATGAATGTGGTTCTTTTTTCCATTAAAGTATTATTGTATGCAAGAACATTTCTTAGTCATCACAGTAATTGTGTTGTACCATCTGATTTGTTCGTGAATTATGTTTGTAAATATACTAACATGACTATTAAAGTTTTTTCTATAAAGTAACACTTTTTCCTGGACTGTGTGCTTTGGCTTATTGTGCTGAAAGGTCATCATCATCTGAAACAGTTTTTTAAAGAAACTCTCTTTATTTTGGTGCAGTCATCCTTCCCTACTTCTGAGCATTCTGTGTCCCTGCTACTGAGAAACAGCCCCATAGAATGATGCTGCCGCTACCGTGCTTTATGCAGGATTGCATTAGTATATACCATCCTGCATTAAGAATGGTGGTGGCAGCTAAACCTGGCTGATGTTCACCAGATTCAGTGCTTAAATGTAGTTGGACAAACTCCAAGCAGGCTGCCACATGTTTTTACTCAATAGCGACTTCAGTTCAATAAAAACAGATTGATGAAGTGCTTCTAAGATGATTGTCCTTATGGCCGGTTTTTCCATCTCTGCAGGGGACTGCTGTGGCTGTTTCAACATTTGTGTTTGATTCTTGGACACCTCCTTAATCAAAGAACATTGTTGCTGGCTTACAAAGTCTGGCCAAGAGGCTAATTGACCAAAAATGTTAGAAAACTACGCCAAATCTTCTTAGATTCTCCAGGCTTCCCCTTTATGTGGTACATTATCTTTTCATTTGGTGAACATGATGGGATTCCCTTAGTCCATCTGGCAACTGCAGATGGTTTTTCATCTTTTTTTTTACATTGTATGGCTGCACGTTTTTTGGCAGACAAGATTATTTTCTTCCAAATCTGACTTTGTTTTTATTAACTTACCTACACTTTTTAAGCTGCTTTTTGTGCAATCTGTCAGAATTTTCTATAAATTACTGTAGTTATTAATATATGTAATTTTTATGTTTGGTGAGCTCCCTCCCAGATCCCAAAACGTGCATCGTAGGTTCATTGGTAAACTGGTCGTGGGTGTGAGCATGCGTGGTTGTGTGTCTCTTTCGCTTTCATCTGAGATGGGCCATCAAACTGCCAAGCCTCTCATCCACTGCCAACTGGGGCTGATTGTTGTTTGTTTACTCATTCAAAGTACATTCCTTTGTCTGCAAAAATCTTTATTATCAAGGTCATGGCACTCCCAAATGCTTCAGAAGTTTTCAAGAGGCACGCCCGCCTCTCGGGCTGGAGCCGCTGCTGCGGTGGCGTGAGTGCGGTTCATGGCCAGTTTCTTCAGTCCTCCTGCTGTGTCTACTTTTCCAACTATCACGCTTGACAACGGCATAAAAGTAAAAATATAATGGTGAAAAGAAGAAACCACAGAACTCGTGAAAGAGAGGTGAAAGTTTTTTTGTTTTTTTTAAAAATAGCCTTCCTATTGTTTTCCTGCGTAGCGGCGTAATTCAAAGTGAGCTGCAGCGATGAGCCAACACGAGCTACAATAACACAAACACACCGTGCCAGGATAGCAGTACACACTGTCCACCAGCTGGTGGCAGCAGTGCGCTATTTGGCTGATTGTTGCTAAAGCAAAATGAAGGGAGTGGGGGAGGTGGTGCCACTGTTACCAAGGCAACTGTGCTGACGTATCCTGAAACCCCTCCCTCGGTGTTAGGGTCCGCCCACCTTTGGGAGAAAATAAGTGGATACAAGGCACACAGCAGCCATTGTGATATAGGATCGTAGTCAGGTCTACGGAACTAGATACTGTAATTACGCGTAAGGCAGGTTTTAGTCACTGAGCGTGGTAATATCTGAGTATTATATCTATACATCTGTACGGTAATTAAAGTCTACCGTCGAGAAAGTAAAGGGAAAAAACCTAGCGAGGACTGTATTATCCGCCCGAGACGTTCAGCTTGGCGGAGGGATTCAACCGACCCTGAAGCAGACACCGAAAAGGGCAGAGGCGCCGTCTGATTTCGCACCTACTGCTTCTTTCCTTTAGATATCTTCTTTTTACAGTCTGTGCTCGGCTTTTCTCTCAGGTCTGTGCCCTTATTTAGATGGCAAGCTTCCCAGACTCTGTAAACGAAAATGATATAGGTAAGTGCTTTATCCTGGGACCAGAGCGGTGTGAGAACGTTAAATGTTTGCAGGCATTTTGTGTTCGCCTCTGAAGCTGCAGTAATAACCTGAAAGATCACAGAACGCTATATTGCTTGTGTAACATACCCTCTAGCTGTAAGGGTCTTTTTTTATAATACGCTGAGCGACATATATCTGTTGTACCAGTTCCGTAGCGAAGCGAATCATCTAAATAAGTGTAAGCTAATATACGCAGATCCATTAACGTTGCTTACAATCTACGTGCTTTGTACATGAAGCAGTACAGGTGGCGTCAGAGTTTCACTACATGTTGCAATGTTTGTGTGAGTTAACGTCGTGTGTTCTTTGGTATTTACAAACTTGTAAACGACAGCCAGTTATATTATTGTATGTTGTGGTTAGTCAGCTTGTTTTCATTGCACGCCAAACCCCTTTTCGTTTTGTTAATTATTGAAGACATTTCCTTGTAGCTTGCTCATGTAGACCTGGTCTTGGGCCTTCCCTCCCCCACAGACTCACACTGGCTGATTCATAGCTCAGTACTGACGTACGTGCAGACTTGCACTCCTAACGCTGCATGGCTGTGGAGTCTACCGAGGTTTAATTTACAGTAAACGAACAAATTACTTGACTTATTTAGTGTCTGAAATTTTAGTTAGGCCCCAACAATTTCATAAACTATTCATTTGTTTCAAATACCATGTATTAATAACTACAGCTGCACTGCTCTAAATGTTAACATAAGGTCTTCTGCTCAGTGTTTCAGCTCATTCTTTTATCTTTACTGTCTATATATCTATAATTATCTTTCATGTTGCTAATTGGCAGAGTCAGAAATATTTTCTTCAAATGAACACAAAGTCAACCATTGCTTAACTGCAAATGCTTAACTTTATGATTTATTTAGCTTTATTACTCTGCACTTAAAAAAAGACAACCTCCCTTCATACCTTCCTACACTCATATCTGCAGTTTGCGTTTTTTAGATTTTTAAGATATATGGGGGAAATTTATGCTAAATGTTACTTTGCAAAGTAGGTTTTCTTTTCCTGTTCAAATATACTAAGGACATGTATTAATGAAGAAAGTAAGAGGTCAGATGTGGATATATGTGGTTTCTTTCCCTTTCCTTTGTTTATTTGTAGACAGTTTCTTCATTTAAGTTATATTTGTCTCGCGACTTATTTTAATTTGTAATATTCCCTAGCATTTAATCTTTTTTTCCACCCACTGTTTTCGTAGAAGCGGTTTGGTTTGCACAGCAAACCAATCAGATGCATGCAACAGTGACAAGCCCTCTCATGTGTTAGGTTACTTTGGGATGGTCAGAGTTCCTGTGGGTTGGCTTGACTGAGGAGAAGGGCTGTAATGTGTTACTCAGTAAAGCTTAAGTAACAGCGCTGTTGCTATTTTTCCAGGTAAGGCTAAGTGCATTGGTGAACTCCTGGTGCCTGTTGCTCCCTTCGACCAGAAGTCTGGGCGTGAGGCTTGGACAGTTGCCTTTGCACCCAATGGTTCCTACTTCGCCTGGTCTCAGGGGCATCGCTTCGTCAGGCTTATTCCGTGGACAAAATGCCTGAAGAACTTGTAAGTATCATTTGAGTCTGAAATGCACTCAGTACAGTGGGCATGCACATACAGGTCCAAACAGGAAGTAGAGGGTTGGTTGGATTTCTTTTCATACATGATTATGGACACTTTTATCTTTAGATATTTTACCAACTAGGACAAGTGTAAAAAAGTTGCAGAGCCACAGGAAAAACACAGAAGGTATAGAATGTTACTACTGAGTGTTTTTCCTTAAAATTTGATTGTTACTAAATTTAATTCTGCAGTTTTACCATTCAAAAGAAATAGCTGTAAACCTACTGAACACGGATAAGGTTTAACTCCTCATTTTATGCTGCTTGAAATCTTGTTATGATATCATCTGATAACCAAGCAAATAAGTCGCAGATCTACATATACAGTGTAGTGCGCACGTTTTGCAAATATGTATGCTACCAGAAATTCTCAGCCATTTTATGACCCTTAGAATCCTTCTCTGCCTAAGACAAGCTGAATGATGACATAGGTGCGCCTCAGTGCCAAGGACACGTGACTTCAGCAGCTTGCTTTCTGCCTAACAGAGTTGTTTTCCACTTAATAGGGCCTTGTGACTTTGAGCCACATTGACATTGACTGTAGAACAAGTCTTTGTTGTTCCAAAGCAGCAGGCTTTGGCTGTTTAGCTGCAGCCTTCCCCCTTCAGTTACTTGGAAGAATGTAACTAAACAGTAAATGCACCATGTACATGGTCTTTGTTATGATTAAGAGATAAAGTTTACAAATGTAATTTCTATGTTTTTCATTAGAGGGGGGTTCAATTTTACCTGTTTTGCACAAAATGTTTTTGATCTGTTTAACTGGTGACACATTCTTGACCAATCCAAACTCCAGACAGGTGTGACTTTAAAGGATATTGATCAGACAGTGTGATTACTACACAGACACTCCTTTGACCACTGAGTATAAATGGTCATCAAATATGCAGCTTCATTCAAATTCCACAATGCCACATATAACAAGTGGAGGATGAGAACAGGCTGTTGGCATTCTGGATGCATAAATAGCATGTTAGGTAAAGGTGTGGCTGGACACTTGAATGTCCACAAGTTTTGTCTTCTGATAAGTTTTTTCAGAGAGCATGGTACGACAGACAATCAGCCATCTGACCATAAACTACGTGCCAGTGTCAGAGCTTAAAATCATCACATCTGACTCAACCTTCTGAAATTGTTTGCAATGTGCTACAGAGACTACTGATGAAGTTGTTAGTATGTGCAACATACAATTGTGAACAATACACTTGTAAAGACCATGCATATCAGGGCAGTTTTGAGTTTCTATTGTTTCTAGTAACTGAATTTTCTATGAGGGAATTTTTGAAATGTCATATGTCTCAAAAAAAAACAATAATGCATTTTGGTTTTAGGAATGTCAAAATCTGTTGTGTCAAATACACATAAAGCACCTTGAAATAGCATTCCCGATGATGTAGAAAGCTGTGCTAATTAAATTTTATTTGTGGCATGGCCTGTTAACTGCTTATGAGTGATCATGATTGACTACAGCTGGTGACTCCTCTGAGCCAGTTCAAATGGGGCCCATTTTATACACTCATTAACCTCAGCCACAAGCTCTACAATGGGAAAGTCTGAGGAGCTCAGCAAAGGTCTGAAAAAGCAAATCATTGACTTGAACATGTCAAGAAAGTCACTTGGAGCCATTTCAAACCCGCTACAGATCCCCAAATCATTTTAGTGCACTTGTGTCACTGTCATGCTCAAGAAGGAAACACAAATTATCACTCGCTTCTGAGAGACACCAAAACACCTGGTGGACAGCTACCAAAAGTGCCTAGTTGAGGTGAAAATCACCAAGGAACGCTTAACAAAATATTAACATTGCTTTATGTATATTTTTGACCCAGCAGATTTTGTCATCTTTCCATAAGAAACACAATAAATCTATAAAAGAACCATAATGCGTGACTGTTTTTTATAAATATGCACGAGTTTCAATGATTTAATCATAAGAAAATACAAAATTGTAGGAATGATTCAACACTTAAGACTGCCGTGATATACATGATCATTACAAGTGAATAGAAACTTTTGTTCATGACTGTACACAACTGTGTTGCCTGTATGTTTTGTAGAGGTGGGGCATTACTCAATGCAAATATTAGGACACAGTTGTTACTGACTTGTGGTTTCTGGTTTAAGACACCATCCTCTCCATCGGCTTTCCAATGTATTTGTACATGGTTGTTTCATGATGTGCATTCTGTTGTAGAAATGCTGTGAGTTGGAACAACAAATAAATATTCCCCTATGTTAAAATAATGGATAGAATTTAATACAACATTGCATGCTGCATTTGTGTTTTTGTTAAGTATGCTTTATAGTTTTAATAACTTGTTTTTGTTTGCTTGTACTTTCTTTAGCCACTGTCTGTTATTGACCCCTCTCTGTCATTCTCTGTTCTGTGTAACTGTAGTTCAACGGGCCATGGTGGAGAGGGCACCAATGCATCAAGCCCCCGGCACTTGTCCCGTCAGAACAGCGATGGGAACAGTATAATCCCGGTGGCTGGCGAGCCTCGCGAACACATCATAGACTGCGGTGACATCGTCTGGGGCGTAGCCTTTGGGTCCTCAGTGCCAGAAAAGCAGAGCCGCTGTGTTAATATCGAGTGGCACCGCTTCAGGTTTGGCCAGGACCAGCTGCTACTGGCAACAGGCCTGAACAATGGTCGCATCAAGATCTGGGATGTTTACACTGGTGAGAACACATTTCTGTTATTTAGAAGTGGTTTCCTTTTTCATCTTTATCAGTCGATAATTAGATCAGGTACTAAGTTAGTAAATTAGATAATGAAAAAGAAACCTAAATTCTGTGTCAGCATATACAGTCGTGAACATAAGCTCACACACACACTTGTAAAGACTATGCATATCATGACAATGACTCCTGTGACTCTTTATCTTCTATGATGAACACGTGCATCTTTGTCACAAACAACAGCATTGCATTTTGGTTCTTTCATAGATTTATTGTAGGTCTTCTGGAAATATGACAAAATCTGCTTCGTCAAAAATGTACATACGGCTAATATTTGGTTAAACATCCTTTGGCCATTTTCACCTCTGTCCCAGTGGTGTGCTTTTAGTAGCCTTTCACAAGCTTCTGGCAAGCTTCTGGTTGTATCTTTGACCACTTCTGTTGACAAAATGGGTACAGTTAAAACTAGCTGTGCTGTTCTTTTGACACAGATGTGTTTATTAAGTCCACGGGTTCAGTCCACCTTATTAACTTGGGAAAACCCAACAAGTGCTTTACATTTGAAAACACAAAAATGAACGTGTGGCTTACAGTACCAGTGTTATCTGGATAATCATAACTCTATTGCTTGAAGTATTGTGACCTCTACCCTGTAGAAAGCTAAATTTCTCAAAAGATAAGTCTGTTTGCCAATTGTGTAAAGTTGTAGGTTGATTCTACAACAACACATTAATCAGTCTTCTAATGTGCATTTATTGGAACAGACTTTTGTTTTAAACAGTCCAGTTTTACACAGGACATGTAATGACTTGCACTTTACAATCCTCATACATACCTAAAGGTGGTCCAATGTGTATTTTTACACTTCAAGTGTTTTTCACTCTGGACTCTGAACACTGGTCTTAAACCACTGACACCGCAATGACTTTCTCATTAATCATAAGTTTTGATTTTCTGACTTGTTGCAGGAAAACTGTTATTGAATCTGATGGACCATACTGATGTAGTGCGAGACTTGACTTTTGCTCCTGATGGCAGCCTCATGCTGGTGTCTGCATCAAGAGATAAAACACTTCGTGTGTGGGACCTTAAAGATGATGGTAAGTAATTTAACTGTCTTTGAAAGAAAGTTGCCATTTCAACCCAGCTTTCATTTATGTTCCTTTTCATAGCCTTTCCTATAGGAACAGAACCCTGTGACCTCTTTTTTTTTTTTTTTTTCCAACCGAGAGCATGATGTTGATAGTTGAAATACTAGACGTCTGTAAGACCGGAAAAGTAGACAAAAGATCCAGAGACTAGGCCAGGCTATTGATGTTAAGTGTGATGTGTTGTGCATTTTTCACCTTTTTATACAGACAATATACAGTATCACATCGACATTATGAGAGTCATAGATCCACTATATTGTCTCAACATCCAAATGCAGCTCTTCAATGTTGCTTCAAACCACGAACACTCCAGAAAGCTTTTACATGTCATGTGAGCTCTGCCCTTATACCGGTTGCATAGAATTGGCCTGTGACCTACATTCCTCCCATAAATTGTTTATGCGTTAAAATCATTGTATGCTGGTAATAATTGGTTTACTGTTCTAAGTTACTAGCTCGGCATATAAATACACATTTGCTGATATGCTATATATGCTATATTTTTTATTTTTATTTTTACAAGTGTCTATAAAAAGACCAAAACCAGCTATTGGATGATTTTATGAAGTCATGGCAAATTAGTTACATGAAAAAAACTCCCCTAACAAATACACAATTTTCTTTTTTTACAAAAACATGACAGTGATCAGTTGTTTTATGAAATTGCTCAGACTTTCTAAACACATAGCTATATAAAGCATAAACTGGACTAAAATATTCTTGACCAAATGAAAAAATACAGTAAAAGGCAAACCATAATATTTATTCTACAAACACCAAAAAAATATCAAGCTGAAGTATTTTGGTGACAAATGTATTTAATTAAAGTAAGTATAAGTCAGGGTGACGTTTTTAAAAGCTCAGTGGTATGGGCATGGTGTCATTGGTTCAGCTTGAACTAGAGATCTTCATTGCATGTCCTATCTCAACATCTTTCCCCTTCTTTTCTGTCTGCCTCTGTATTGTCTGCTGTCAAATTAAGGTGAAAAAGCCCTCGAAGTATTCACAAGTATGACTTGTGTGACTGGTGACAGAAATATAACTTTGAGAGTAAAGGACACGTCATTTATGTCTTGCAGGTAACATGGTGAAAGTTTTGCGGGGGCATCAGAACTGGGTGTACTGCAGCGCCTTCTCCCCTGACTCCTCCATCCTATGCTCAGTCGGCGCAGGCAAAGCAGTATGTATACAAGTTCCTTTGTACTTATTTTCATGAGTTTGCTAGCTAATCTATGTGCAATTGCTTGTCACCAGTTATGCTCAATCAACCTTCAAATTACAACATTCCCCATCTGCCCTTCCCTCCCATTTCCAGCTTAGAACAAACTGTTGCTCGGTGTCATTATGAGTTGAGTTACCTGCATCTAGATTCTGTTTGGCTTTTGTTTGCTGTGGAAAAAAAAAAAAGGTTTTTGGTGTTCTAAAGTTTGCATGCAGAGCAGACAATTGTTTCACTAATGTTTTGTAGCTGAAGTAAACATGTTTCATCATACAGTATTTATGTTGAAGTTGGGGAGACCAAACAGATGTTTCTACTGCAAAGAAATCTTTCAATTCAAGTAATTTCCCCCCCCAAAAAAACTCTTTTGCAGTTTGAAAAAATAATTCTGACCTTATGTAAAACTTCCATATTTTCAAAGGTCAGCTAAGAAATGCAATTACTTCCTGTATCACATGTTGACTTGACTTCCCATATTTTTGCAGCCCTTAAGGCAGACATGTTTCTGACAATAAATTCCATGGATTGGCCACGATTAGTTCACCTTATCTACAGTGCTGGAGACATAGATTAGTCTGAATTTTGTGGTAATGGTAGACATGGTGGTAGTTTTGTTAGGCTCTGTGTGTCCCTACAGTGTGTGTCTTGCTCTCCCTGTCACAGGTGGTGGCAGAGCTCAGTGTGTGATTGGTTTTGAAAGGAGCGCCGCGCTGACATTTTGAGCAGCCGGTGTAAACCGTGGACGCACAGTGCACAATGCCCAAAGGCCTGGCCAGGGGCAGCCTGGCACCTGACCTGCAAGGTCAATCTGTACGTAGGTGCTGCTCCATGTCTGTCTACCTCTGCTGTTGCAGTTCCTCTATTTTTTTTATTCATTTAAGTTTAAAACTGTCATTTAACTGGTGGTTAAATACCCCCTCTACTCCCCACCCCCACCCCTTCAAACCCATTTCCACACCTCCCTTTTTTTAATCTTTAAATAGCTTCGTCTACCATCTGCACACGCTAGCTTCTCCTTTTGCTACTGGGATTCTTGTTACTTTCAGTTTAAGTGTTTCTCTTGTAGCATAGAGTGTAACATTTTAATGCTGCCACTGGCAAATTTTAGAAAACAGTTTAGCTCAGCTGAAACAACAGCCAGCCAACAACTAACCTTTCACTCCTTTCTATGTCAGCCTTGGCACTTGCGAGTGCTTTGTAAATGTTACACCAATCCCCATTGTAATGGAATTACTGTGTAGCTTTAAGACTGTTATTGTTACACACAATCATGAAAAGTTGTTTGTGCCTTTGAGCACTTGCATTCTATGAGAGCTGTTGGATAAAGTTTAACTGTTCCCATAAAACTTGTGTAAGAGCAAACCTGGTATTGAGAGAAGTGGATGGCAAACTGGCAAGTTATGCAGTAACGTTTCCATCTGCCTTTCTTCTGTGGCTTTTTCTGCTTTTTAAAAGAGCACTGAAGTATTCCTGCTGATGGCAGCACCAGAATAACAGCAATACATAATACTTTATGTCATCCAGTGTTTTCCATCAGCATAGTTGTGATGATAAACACATATTAGAAATTTAGTGGAAAAAAAATGTTGTTTTTACGTTAAATTGGGAAAATAGGAAAATAGGAAGCTAGCTCATACAGAGAGAGAAAGCTCTTCAAGAAACGGAACCATTTGTCTGCATGCAAATAAGAGTTTTATTTAAACCATTAACTGCATGTGTTAACAAGCAGCGTCTGCAGCACTTTAATATTTTCAGTTTCTAACAATCAAAACATGACAGGATGAAAGCATTTAGTAATTGCATACTTCTCTGATGATACATTGTCCTGGAGGAAAAATATTAGTACTAAAAATTCAGGTCATGTCTCACTGTTACAAGAAAAAAGCTTCTACTTTCTACCAGTGTGTATGTATGGTATGTGTGTTTGTGTGTGTGTGTGTGTGTGTGTGTGTGAGCTTGTGTGTGTATATGCATTTGTGTACTTTGCCAGAGGTATCAATCCTTTGGCCATAAAATATTCTTTTCTCTTGCAGTATCTGTCTCTCTTCGTAGGCTTCTGCCGGAGATGCGAGCCTATTGTAAACACAGTGAACTAAAACTCTGAAAGGGGAAACCAGTGGAGTAACTTTATGTTACCTTAAGTTACTACTTGTTTTATTTTCACTTTTTTTGTGTAGACTTTTTTCTAGTGATAGAAGTTTGTATTTTGTTATATTTATTAATATATTAAAAGATGTATACATTTAAATTATGATGTGGTAGTTTATCTATATAGAATGTTTCATACTTTTATTGTAATGACCAGTATAGGTCAAGTGTTGATTTTGACATAGCCTTGCTGCTTGTGTAGCATTTGCTCTTTTGTTTGGTTGGCCTGGTTTAAGGTTACAAAAGCATTACAGTGACCTTGAGCATAACTGTTTAATTCTGTTTTAATTCCTGTTGCTTAATTTAATGTCTAATTTGCATCTAGTAATAGTCTAAGATAGTCCATCTGTACTCTGTACCAATCATTCCACGTGCTATAACAGTCTCTTCTTCAATTTGCAGGTGTTCTTATGGAACATGGATAAGTACACTTTGATCCAGAAGCTGGAGGGACACCACCATGATGTGGTGTCTTGTGAGTTTTCACCAGATGGGGCACTGTTGGCCACCGCCTCTTATGACACCCGGGTCATCGTATGGGACCACCACAAGGCCACCGTTCTGCTGGAACTGGGGTAAGTAAATGACGCACAACATGGAGGCTAGTGGATGAGGGTTTGGCTGCTCTGGAATGCATTAATATTTATAACAACTCAGAGTGGAGAATCTTGACCATTTCCATTTGCCAGTGGTTAAAATACAGGTATTGCATTTGTCAACCAAAAAAAAATATTCTGAAGGTCCCCTAACAAGCGTTTCCATAGCCTTCACGTGTCAAAGCGGTTGTCAATGGATGGAGTGTCCTCGGTTGTCATGCCCATGCCATGGTTTCTATCTGCTGAAAATCAGATATATTAGAAAGCCACACAGCTAGTAAATGAACCCTGAGCTTACTATGATTCTGGCTCTAACTGCTAGGCCCTGAGTGTACTGAATTGAGCAACGTTGCTTTATTGGTTATGGGGTTGTAACACACAACTATTATTGTAGTCAAATATTCTTTCAAGTACTATTACAAATAATTGGCTATTTGAAATATTTTATTCAGTCCAGCTAACTGTAATGCCTTCATATCAAAGCATTTCAAGTCAACACAAAAAACAGGCATGATGACGTCACTAACTAATCTAAAAATACATTCGTTGCCAGCTAATCTGGTCGTGGATTTTAGTCGGCACTGTTGATTACACCTTGCACCTCTAATTTCTTATCAATTCAGTTTTTTTTTTAAATTTTAAAGAGAATATATAAAAATCTTTTTATCTGACCAAGGATTTAAACTGGTGTGTCAATGGTTTTGCAAATTCATGGTGTCCTTCTTGGGTGACGGTAACGCTTTTTATGATATCTTTTACATTTTATTGTATATGGTATGTATCTCAAGTGGTGATACTCCATTGTGTTTTTAATCTACGTGTTACACAGTTAATATTGAAATTAGGCTTGACTTTAAAAATTAAATTGCAATATTTGAAAATTGACAATTAGGTATTTTCCCCATATAGTCAGCCCCATTGTTCTGTTAGTCTTTTTCCAAGAGTGAGTTTTCATTTTTAGCCTGAGAAGTTACTGAACTCCTGCTCTCTCCTTTTTCTAGCCATCTCTTCCCTCCTCCTTCACCCATTTTTGCTGGAGGGGCAAATGACCGCTGGGTTCGCTCTGTGAGCTTCTGCCCTGATGGCCGCCACATTGCCAGCGTTACTGATGACAGGTAAGAAGCTGAATGACGTCACTTACAGTAATATTCCTTAACTAGTTGTATGTAGCATCCTCACTTTTGTTTGCCTTTTAAATCTACTTCAAGTGTCCTTTTTTTTGCTAGGTTTTTATTGCCTTTCTTGTTTTAGTCGAACACTATCTTTCATTAAATGAAGAGATTAAAAAAAAAAGTATAAATGGTTGACATATAGATTTTTGTTGTAAAATCTTAGAACTGTTCGAAAATAATTCTCCTACTCTCTGCCTCTTAGTGCCTGTTTGGGCTTATACATGTCAGCATGAACACATTTTAGCAGTAGATTAACAAGTGCACCATTTGCAACATTTTTTTTAAGTGTTCAAAACAGAAGAAGCCTTGACAAACTCATGTATTTTCAACTGTTTGTCCCATGATTGTGCATGGTTTTTAACGAAGGCTTTTTTACTGCCTGTTAGTGCACATGGACTGGTATGTAAACAGCAGAGCGCAGCAGAAAAGTTTCACTCTTAGATGCAGTTTTTAAAAAAAAATCTTACAGAGTCATAAGTGTTTTGGGACTTGTGAGCACAGAGCTACTGTGTATTGGTCTGCTTGGCCATTTGTGGGTCACATGACTGTCACAAGGTAGCTATTAATCATTCTGACCGCTGGCTGACCGAGCACCAAATTGTTGGCAGAAACTATCTTGAGGGGAAGGCATCGAGTAAGCTTAACAAAATGGTGGCTGTAAAAACATGCAGACTAACAGAGGCCTTCCACTGAATGCTTTAAATAACTAAACAAAGATACTGTCAGTCATAAAGTTTAAGTAATATGTTTATTATTGGTATTGTACAGTAGATTACTCTGAATCTTCTAGTGTGTTATCACAAGAAGTCTCATTATCTAAGGAATCGAATGCTTATACATTTGTTGATCACATTCATGCCATGTATCCTGGGAATAATTGCCTTTGGTGTAAATGGCCCAGTGACCATCCCTCCAGTTTCAACTACAGCTAGTATTTGTCAGATGGACAGACTCTGTTTACTTGTGACTTCATGTTCATGAAAAATATTTGAATGTCAGTTGCTCCTTCAAGTTGAAATATTTTAACCTCATAGTAAATTTCCATGTTTTTCAAACATTACGATTTAAGCTTCAAATGCAGATTTTTTTTTGGTTTGTCATAAACTTGTTAAACCATTTTCTAGCACTTGACCAACCTCTTCTAGAGCCACAGAAGAATATCAGAATTATTTTCACAGACTGCCGAGGAGTAGCCATGAGGAGTAAACTGACTTTTTGTGTATTGGGTTGGGTATTATTTTGATTCTAATGATTCTGATTTCTATTCCGATTCTTAATGATTCTGGATTCAAAACAAAGTACTGGCTTATTTTACAAATGTTTTCAGTCATACTCTAACTCACAACTGTGTTTGTACAGTTTATGGAAACTGCCAATTTAGATCTTACAGTATAATTTGCTTGCTGCTGGTAGATTATATAATTTAACAGTCTGTTTATGACTTCTTTTTTTAAAAAACTGTATTGTACCATGGAAGTCTCCTGAAATGACAACATGGCAACAGTCTTAAATCAGTTCACTTGCAGCTAAGGTAGCTGCTGCCTGTGTACGTACTGACAAGAGAAAAGTAGAAATCTCTGGCATGGTGCCTGATGCACTTGTGGAATTTCAACTGAACCAGTGACCAAAAACACAAAACTATTTATCTGTAAAACTGCATACATGATGTGGTCTAATAATTTAAGTTATTGCAATATGAGACACATCAGGACAGCATTAGGAGACAGCATTAGATCACATCGCATGTTCACTTTACATAAAGATATAAAATAACAGATCTGGAGAAACTGTCTGTGTAGTTGGAAGTGTCAAGGCAAATGCCTCAATTTAGTAGCAAAGGAGATCACTGGCAAGTTTGTAGTTTAATTGTATACTGGACACATTTTAAATGGTTTTCAGTCTATGCTAACATTAGAAATACAAGGCAGTTCCATTTTTTGCATGCAATTTGGATTCTGACATCGTTTTCCGGGTGTTTTTTTGTCTGCTCAGGCTGGTTCGTTTTTGGAGCATCGAGGAAAGGGCTCCACAGGCAATTGCCTCTGTCTCTAATGGCCTCTGCTGTGCCTTCTCTGCTGAAGGAAGTGTCCTTGCTGCTGGGTAAGACATTAGCACGTGCTCAGAGACACACCCTCCTCAAAACAGATCACATTACAGTTCCTCAATCACATCCCGCCCTGTAACAGGCAAACCAAGAAAACTCCACGTGTTATGACAGCTGGCTGTCAGCACTGTATGCATTTATAACTCACATTTTCTGCCTTCTCTTGTATAACTTGTCATAATTCTTGTTTTTAGGACTCGTGATGGTAGTGTGCACTTCTGGGAGTGTCCTCGTAGCGTTGCCAGTCTGCAGCACATGTGTAGGATGGCTCTCCGCCGGGTGATGACCACCCAGCAGGTTGAGGCTCTGGCCATTCCCACACCGCTCCGCGACTACCTGACTTACAAAGTCATCTAATTCTGACCCCAGCCAATCCAACTGCACTTGTCTCAACAGCGACATGCTCAAAAACCAACGAATCTCTTATTTTCTTAAAAGAAATCGTTTTTCATAGAACTTTGATGAACAAACAAGATTGATCGGGACAGCAGGAAAAGTTTGAAGTTTTACAGAAACCCCAGAGCCATGTTCTTCTCTCCACCCTCCACCACCGTTATTTTGTGCATATTTATTTTTTTAAGTGCTTTTGTAAATGAGTGTGCTGGGACCAGCGCATCCTTCATACCTGTAAGGTCAAATTGTTTCTAAGCCCTCCTGTCTCCTCCGACATATTACTACGGTACCTTTCCTTTATTTGTTGAGCTACTCTTCCGGCTGGCTCCAGCTCTCCACTAGCTTCAGTGGACTCTTCATCTTTTCCTCTGATGTGAAATTGCTGTTGCACTTAATGGAGAGCCTTTGCAGTGGTGCTTGCTCTTAATGTCAGGTTTTCTTTTCTATTTGCTGGGGGGAGGTAAAGGGAAGAGACATGGGGTGTTTGAATGATGCAGGGTTTTTAAGGCCAAAAGTCAGATCTATGAACTACTGAGACTTGGAAGTACCTTGAAATCACAATATTTTCATGGCAAAAAAATCAACAGCTACGTTTCTTTGACAGATTTGGAATATTTTTATGAAACAGTATTCATGCCTTCACGGCACCTTAACTCACTGAAACCTAATCTTCTTTAATGTGGTTGGCAGCCGTTATTTATTTCTAATACAGAGACATAATTTGCTAGGTGCATTAGCCGTCATACAGTCCAGTGCAGTATGCAACCATCTGGGTACTGTATCGATTATACATAGCAAAAGAAGCTCGATACTTCACTTTCCACTGTGCTAGCATGCTAACTAGCATGCATCATTGGAGCCTGGCTGATGGTGTATATGTCAACAGGTAAATTAGTAAAGCAGCACCTATTATTTGTATCCAAACTAAGTGGCTAACATCAGTGTTTCAGTGACCAGCAAATATCAGCCCCATTTTGGGAAAACCAACAATTGCTTGAATCCTGACATTGTGAGGACTTAGTCCTACCAAAAATGTCTCAGACTGGCAACAAACAGTAGTGTGTGCGTGTGTGCGTGTGTGTCCTTGAGACCAGTGTTGTTTGATAAATTTACAAAGCAAGCACCTCTGACACTTAACTACTATCTACATTTGGACTTGGTAGGCAAAATTCCATGTGATATGTATGTATATACAAAATTGTATCATTTCCATAAACATCCAAAACATTTTACGCTTTTTACCACTTTATTTTGTCATGTATATCTTTTTCCTCTGTTGAATATTTGTACTTTTGTATTTTGTTCCTTCTTTGTTTTCCTTTAAATGTGAAAATGTCAAAAAAAAAACAAACAAACAAAAAACAACTATACATGTCTTACTGCTAAAGCCCAGAATGAAAGGTATACTACATTACTGTATAATGCAGATTTAGACTGTGGCAGTGCTGCTGCACCCTGTCTGTATGTAGAAATTACAATAAGCAATTCCTGCAACCCTGAAAGACATCTAAACAAACCAACCAATCAGCTGCCAGCCTTGGCCAGCCTCTCTCATGTTGACTGAACTCTTGGTAGAAATGTATGCACAAGAATTCCCAGTAACTCTAAGATGCAGCATTTTTAGAATCTGTTTGATTGTCATTTTTAGTTTCTCACTGAGAAGAAAAGTGAAGAAGGGAAAGTACACTCTAAGTGGCCTAATTCCTCTTTTGGTTTCTGTATGAAGGTGGGTAGAGAGCAGCTCGCAGTCATTCTTGGCAATAAGTTCCCTAACAGTGCTAATGCCAAAGGTTTTTCCTTTTCAGATAGCCCATGTAAATGGTTGGCTTCTCATAGTTTCTATTGCTCTATAGAGGGAGTTGCGTGGATGGATTTCACTGCTTAGTTCACTATACAGAACCTTAACTGGGGTTTGCATCACATGTTTGTATACCTGTTACCATTGTGATTGGAAAAACACAGGCCTGCCTCAATGAGATGCAGTATGAAGCGTTAAATATATCAAATATCTATGAATGTATTAAGTTCTGCAATCTGTTCTTGTGTGCAAGTTTCAATAAAGGTTTTTTTTTAAAACAATAATGGTGGTTATTATTAGTGTTATACAAAAGCTGTTCAAACTTTTGGCAATAAATGTTTGTTATTTAGGGAATGTGTTTATGTAGAACCCTTTTCCATTATAAACACTTGTTTTTGGTAAAAGACATTGGATTGTTCCAAAGTCAGGGTAATGCTGCTGGGGAGGGATTGTGGTGAAGGAGGCCTTTATTTATTGTGTATCTATAATTATTTAAATCAGATTTTCCTTAATATTAGGGTCCCATATAGTGTGTAGCGCACTACAATTATACAGGGTGAACTAAATTTTAAGATGACATTTTGCACTGACTTAAAATCAGGGCCATCACTCAGATCTTTTTAATCAGGTCATTTGGGAGACCTTGACCAGGAATATTTCAGATTCAAATATATAGTCGGGTCCATAAATATTTGTACATTTACCCAATTTTCAGCATTTCAACAGTACATCACCGCAATGGATTTGAAATTAAGCAATAAAGATGTGCTTGAAGTGCAGACTTTCTGCTTTAATTTAGAATAGAATAGAATAGAATGCCTTTATTGTCACTATACACATGTACAATGAGATTAAGAGCAGCTCCTTCAGTGCAACGTAGAATAAAGAACAAAATAAAGAGCAAAAAAATGAAATAGAAGAGATTTACATATAAAATAAGATAAGTTATATATACAGTATAAGTTATATGTACAGTATGAATTTAGAAAAATATTGCACAGCATGGTCATTGATGATATTGCACATTTAAATAGAGTTCACAGTAGGTGGATGTGAGGTAGATTGGGGGGGCTGGGGTGGACTGTGATGTCAGTGCATGTGTAAGTTCAGAGTGGTGATGACTTTTGGGGAGAAGTCTGTTCTTAAGGGTATATACATCCAAATTAGGTGAATGGTGCAAGAATTCCAACACATTTTGTACAGTTATGGAAAAAAACTATTAGACCACCCTTGTTTTCTTCAGTTGCTTGTTCATCTTAAAGCCTGGTACAACGAAACATTTGTTTGAACAAATATAGTGATGACAACAAAAAAGCTCATAAGAGTTTCATTTAAGAGCGGATATCTATCTATTTTCCATGGTTTCCTTGATAATAACCAAAATCTTCTGTTCTTACATCAATAGTTATGCATTGTACTGCCAGAAGCAGTGCTTTTAGGCATTCCATGTTTTTTTTCTCTCTCTGTTTTAGTCACATGATACACACAGGCGTTAGGACTTGGTTACATAACCATTGTTTTTGATGACTGCAACCATGTGTCTTGGCATGCTCTCCACCAACTTCTGACATTATTCTGCTGTCACAGCAGCCCATTCCTGTTGCACAAATTCAAACAAATTTCCTTTGTTTTTGGGCTTGTGGTTCTCCATTCTGTGTTCGATGATTTTCCACAGGTTTTCAACTGGATTGAGATCTGGTATTTGAGCAGGCAAAGGCATGGTTCGAATGTTCTGGTTCCCTATCCAGGCTTTAACTGACCTTGCCGTGTGGCAAGGGGCATTGTCTTGTTGGAAAATCCAGTCATTTGAGGCAGGAAAGAGTTTTTTCAACTGATGGAAGAAGATTGTTTTCAAGAGTATCCCTGTACATGACCTGGTTCATTTGCCCTTCACACAGTTACATTTGCCCTGTTCCACCCATTCTCAAACAACCCCAGATGGTCACTGATCCGCCCCCATGTTTTACTGTAGGGGCAAGACAGGCTGGTTTGTCGGCTTCTCCAGGCTTCCTCCTAACCAGTAAGTTGGCTGGAGTGGGCATCAACTGAAAATTGGATTCATCACTGAAGAGAACCTTAGCCCAATCATCAACAGTCCAATCCTTGTCATCCCCAGTAAAGAGTAACCAGGCTTTCCCCTGCCCTTCATTAATGAAGGGCTTCTTTTGTGCTCTGTGTGACTTCAGACCAGCTTCAAGAATTTGGTTTTGAACTGTCCTTGCTGAACAAGTCACATTTCTCGACAGTGCCCACTCATTTTTAAGGTCCCTGGAGGTGTGACGACAATTCCTGACACAGGAACGGATGAGTGCGTGGTC